AAAGGAATGAATGAATTAAGTTTGAGTGTTTTTTGTTCTGTTAAACACACAAGATGAAATACTGAAGCATCTTGGAAACCTGTAAACATCGACTTCCATAGAATTTTTTTTTCATAGTATTTTGATTAGTTGTCACTTTGTTCAAGAAAAATAAACGAATGCCCGAATATAAACCAACTTTACCTCAATTATTAGTTTTCCTTACTTAATTTTAATTAGTTAGTTTAATTAGTTAACCCCAAAATAGAAATTATGTAATTACACATCCTTGACTGGTTCCAAACCAGTTTGAGTGTTTTTATTCTGTAAAACACAGAAGATTAAATACTGAAGCATGCTGGAAACCTGTAAACATCAACTTCCATAGAATTTGTTTTACCATAGTATTTTAGTAGTTGTCACTTTGTTAAAAAAAAAAAAACTAATGTCCGAACATAAACCAACTTTACATCAATTATTCATTTTCCCTAGTAAAATTTTACTGACAAGGATAGTTTACCCAAAATATACTCACCATACAAAACCTTTATTTATTATTTATATTTTGTTAAAAACAAAAGAGGATATTTTGAAGAAGCCTGTAACCATTGACTAACATAGTATAAAACACAATGGAAGTCAATGGTTACAGGTTTCCATCCTCGTTTAAATATCTTTTGCGTTCAACAGAAGAAATTTAAACTGGCATGAAACAAGTAAATGCTGACAGATTTGTTTCATTTTGAAGTGAATTATTCTTTTAAGTTTGTAAAGGTGAATAAAAAAACACTCACCAGGGGAGTCTTTCTTCTGTTCTGACAATTCGCCTTTCTGTCTGCCAACCGCCACGGCCACCAACACAACCAGCGCGCCTATCAGTAGCGACAGAGCAAAGATCGCTGCAAACTCCATCTTGGAGGGCTTTGTGCCACGTTATCACTCCTGACACAGGTAAACAGACTATAGCATATACGATATAAGACTTGCTGTATAGCAGAAGATCTGCGTTTCTGTAACTCGAGTCGCACTTAGTTCACTTCACTCCAGTGACCCGCTGGCAGCTTTACTTCTGGCTGTCCCGGTGCATCAAACTTCCCAGACTGACTTGACAATCCCCTGTATATGTTTAAAAATATGCAGCACCTATTAAATGAGATGTCTGTATGAAATGAATCCTCATAAAGAGGTTGTTGTCTGAAAGAATGAATTAACTTACTAGGGATCGAGTGCCAGATGGCTATTCAGCACTGCGCATGCGTACAAGTGGCATAATTCTCTCCTTCCTTGTTGAGCGAAGGAGTTCAGGCGAAAGATCGAGCTCTTAGCGACTCTAGCGGTTTGGAGTCTCGGCAGAAATTTATTTAAGGGTTAGTTCACCCTAAAATTTAACTAATGTCATTTACTTATTCATCCTTGACCTGTTCCTAACAAGTTTGAGTGCTTTTGTTCTGTTGAACACACAAGAATATATACTAAAGCATGTTGGAAACCTGTAACCATGCATCGACTTACATAGTATTTGCTTTTCTTAATAGTTACCGGTCTCGAACATTCTTCAATGTATCTTTTTTCGTGTTAAAAAAACTGTTCTGGAACAATAGATGAATAAATGATTACTGAATTATTATTTTTTTCATCCCTTTAAGGACCCCTAACAAATTTCATGATATGTTTTTGCATTTGGATCATGCACAATAATTAGGGACCAGCAATCAAAGAACATCCGGCTAACATTCTTGTATGATTTCGGTTTGTAATTTTTTGATGGCAATGAAATAAGAATGTTCTGGAAACATTCTCTTTTTTGATAACCGAAATCTAAACTTCCCCAAACATTGTTTTTATAATGACATCTTAAAGGACAACATTAAGCAAACATTCTCCTAGCCTAGAGGGAATGTTCTATTTACTTAAATAAATCTCTCTCGCGTAACCAATGACATTTTATTGCTAAAAATGTCCTTTGTTCCTTGTTTATTTACACGTGATATCATATGTACTTCATTTACATCTTATCAATTATTTCAAGTCCAACACAACCAAGTCCAGCTCCATACATGCATTTATTAGGACAATTCATTTTTCTTAAAAAAAAAATACAATTTAGAAAATAATTCCAGTTTGCACGTACAATACAATCTATCCAGGTATTAGATTTCTATTAATTTACTCTTTTTGACATCATTGATCCACATGTGCTACAGAATGACATCCTACAACAAATATAACTTTGTCCTTATTCTCAAAAACTAAAATCCTGCTTCCTTTTAAAGGGATAGTTCACCCCAATAATGTTAAATGTAATCACAATTTACTCACCTTGAAGTGGCTCCAAATCGGTCTTCTGTTAAAAATCTCTATATATTTTCTATTTCAGATATTCTAAAAATATCTATCTATATATATATATATATTTTTTTTTTTTTTTCAAAATATTGGAAACCAGTATCCATTGACATCCATAGCATTTTGTCCTACTATGCATGTCAGTGTCTACCAGTTTTCAACATTCTTCAAAATATCTTATGTAATACTTTATATTTATAGTATTTATGTTGGACAGAAAAAAGGGAAATTAAATAGATTTGCAACAAACAGAGAGTGAGTAAACGATGACACAATGGTCATTTTCAGGTGAACGATCCCTTTCAAATTTCATTTAATGCATTTATCAACCAACTAAAGAAGATCACCTCCCATGATCTAAATAATGTGCAGCTCTTCTTTTAAATCAACTCAAATTAAACTTTGAGAGAAACACTCCACCTTTTTTGGAAATAGGGTCATTTTACAATTAGAGTTACCCCTGTTTGTAACACTTTATAATAGCTACACACTATGAATCATTTATTAAGCATTAGCAAATAGTGAATTCATTATTTGTTAAGCATTACCTCTACATTAATAGACATTTATAAGCAGTTTATAACTGCAGAAACAAATGCTCTGTTTTTGACTTATAAGCACATTTATAATCTTCTTAATGATTGTACTTTCATACTTTTTTAATGATTATTTTTCATGACAAAATTTAGTATCGCATTATTTACAAATCATTTGTATTTAATAGTTGTGTTTTTTTTTTAAGATCATTCATGATGAGTGAGTAAATAACTAATAAACTATTTAATTCAACATCTTTATATATTATTATTTAGGCATATACTAATAGTTAATGTGTATGTTAATAAATGCTCAATTAACTCAGCCTTATCCTGTTTTGTGACCTAATCTAAAGCGAGGGCTATTTAAGCTTTATAAATCCGTGATAAATAAAATAAAGACAATTAAAGGCTCAATATCAAATGAACAATACATCTTTGCAATCCTATCTAAAAGTAAAATGACTGTAAAGTTTAAACATTACTGAATAACAGGAGTGTCAAAACACAACAAACAATTGGATAAAACAACAACAACAATATAATAATTTAACAATATATTATGATGCAACTTTTCAATGTTATTTAGTGACGTTTAAACTGCACAGTCATTTCACTTTACATAAGATTGCAAAGATTCATTTTCATTCGATACGGTTTCATCTGTGTATCTTCAAACAAACAGAAATGAATTAAGTCATTTACTGTCTTTTGTTCCTGTTTAGACTATAACTGAGCCTTCAATTGTCATTTATTAGGGATTTATAAAGCATAAATAGTCTTTGATTAGGTGACAAAACTGGATGAAGTTGAGTTAATAAAGCATTTGTGAACATGCAAATTACTATTAATATATGCCTGAATAGTAAGAACAATAAATGTTAATTTAAATAGTTTATTAAACATTTATTTATGCATTCTCAATAATCTTTTAAAACCAGAAACTTCTCTCAAATAACTGATTTGTTAATAGTGCAATAATTAATTTAGTAATAAAAAATTATAATTAACAAACTATGAAAATACAATCATTAAGCACATTATGTATGTATGTATGTATATATATATATATATATATATGTTCTTATAATGCCACAATAATTAACTGCTTACTAACATCTATTAATGTAGAGTTAATGCTTAACAGGTAATGAATTCACTGTTAGCTAATGGTTAATAAATGATTCACATTGTGTAGCTATAATAAAGAGATACTAAGGTTTAGTTTTATCATTTTTGAATCCATTCAGGCGATCTCTGCATCACTTTTTAGAGCACTTTTAGCATAGCTTAGCATAAATCATTGAATCGGATTAGACCATTAGCATCTCACTAAAATGGCCAAAGACTTTTGTTAATTATTCTATTTACAGCTTGACACTTTTGCAGTTACATCATGTAAGACTGAAGGAAAATGAAAAGTTGCTTTTCAGTCTATAAAAAATATTCTTATAATCTAATTTTAATTATATTCTAATTTGATTAATTATAATATTTTATTCCTATTATCTTTATTTTCCTTCAGTCGTAGTACAAGATGTAACTATAGAAGAGTCAAGCTTTAAATTGGAAAATAATCTAAACTCTTCATTTTTGAGAAAGACGCTTATGGTCTAATCCGATGTAATTATTTATGCTAAGTTAAAAGTGCTCCTGCTAGACCCAAACATCGGCGGAATTCATTCAAACATGATAAAACTCAAATGTTTAACTTTAGAGCAGTGTTTCTCAACCATGTTCCAGGAGAACCATCAGCTCTGCACAATTTCAGTGTCTCCTTAACCAAACACCGGATTCAGATCATCAGTTCATTAGCAGAGACTGAAAGACCTGTAATGGGTGGGACAGACAAAAGAAACATTCAAAACATGCAGTGTTGGTGGTCCTCCAGGAACGTGGTTGAGAAACACTGCTCTAAAGTTAAACATTTGAGTTTTTTTAGAGGACATGTTATTTTCCAAAAAAGTGGAGTGTTCCTTTAACAAACAGAAGTGCTTGATTACGATCACATTGGTCCAAATTAACTTCCAAAAATCTGACCTTAGCTCTAATAAATCTTCAAGTCTCAGTAGCTGAACATCTGTGGCGCAGCGGTGGTCTGCTGTTGAGCAGGTCCTGTGACTTGCGTCTGAATCTGATGTCTTTGTTCTGGGAGTGTTTGTGGCTGATCCGAAGGCCCTTGAGGGGCCGCTGTGTCTGTCTGAGGGTCATCTATGCTGGCGGTGTGAGCTCCATCGGCTGCCACGGGCCGCCAGGTTAAAGCAGGCTGCTCCAGCTGATGGGGAAGGGGGTTGACGAAGGTGGTGAGGTTGATAAAATGTGCAACCGATTGTGGAGCCGTGGCCCCCACCGTGCCCACAGCCTCGGACTGGAGATCTGGCGGCCGGTTGTGCAGCATGGCTGAGCCGCTGACAGTGTCAAAGGTCACAGTGAGGATGGAGCTGTCTAGAGTGAGCGGCCGGTCAGATGGAGTAAGGTGACTGACAGCCACCGGCTGCAGGTTACTAAACTGGGCAGGAGCAGGGGTTGTGATGGGGGTCACGGTGATGTTGGTTAAATTGACTGAACTGGAAGACACCGGAGGGGCGCTGGGGTCGGTCAACACTACCACCTGTGTGTGTACATTGGGCAGAGGAGATTTGTCAATACACAGAAGTAGATATTTGAGACCATTCATTCATTCATTCGTTCGTTCGTTCGTTCGTTCGTTTATTTACTTTCCTTCAGATTAGTCCCATATTCATCAGGGGTCACCAAAGACCCACCATGTTGCCCCCTGTTTGAGATCAATAAGATCAGCATATTTACTCATTTGGTGGACATCCTGTCATATTTGCCATGAGCAGATCAGTAAAAACTGCACAATGTGTTACATGTGTGTGAGTGTGTTTGTGTGTGTACGCATGAATGCTGTAACAGCATTTCTGTGTGGCTTATTCATCTTACTCTGGTATTTTTGACTGTGGAAGGTTTCAATGTGTCCGAGTTGCTCTCTCTTTTTATGTGTATATCCTGACATTCGACAAAGATTATTCTTCTTTGAAACGAAATGTCCTGAGAGTTGGCAGGGAAGAACCTACTTTGAGACGTTGAGGAGAACCAGCTTATATTCATTTAAAGGCACAGGCACAAAAATAGCTACAATTCCCTCTGACCAAAAAATTGACATTTTCAACAGGGTATATTTGATAATCTGATGGATATTTATTATTTATTTATTTTTTAGTTTAGTTTATTTGTTTACAGGGTCAATGCACATTAATAAACATTACTGTAAAATGTGCCAGAATTAGCCAAGAATGGCTATTTTTCATCTGTTGACTTGAAACTTTACAGATGCTTTCTGGAGAAATAAAATAGGCTTCTTATTTTACATCTTGTTATAGGGCCAAAATTGGAGCCCTTTAAGAAGAAGACTATTCTGCTCACTAAAGCCGCTCTTCCACTGTGTGTTACGGTTTACCAGAAGTTGGCTCACTTTGGTTCATCTAAGTTTGCATTTTCGTTGCAGTTAAGTACCCTATAAAGTCCACGTGAACCGGAAGTTGCTGAGACTTTTATTTCAGTATGTTAATGTACTTTCAACTCAAACTGAATATTAAGTAGGGGGCGGGGCTTTCTTTTGCACATCATTTCCTCATAGCTATCTAAGAGGGGCGTGGTTAGGAATACTGATATACAGCTACTATGGAAGCCTTCATGTTGACGTCATCAGATGGATCGTTACTCTAAAGATGGAAGCAAATGGTCAGTCGTTGATTGAAGATTATCGAAACCAAATTTTTTTTAGGAGATTAACTTGCACAGATTAATTATTCAGTTTAGGAATAACAACATGAGCTGCCAAAATAAACATTGAGAATTTTGATTCGACATAGACTTTAAAGTCTATGTGAACCGGAAGTTGCTGAGACTTTTATTTTAGTATGTTAATGTACTTTTAACTGAAACAGAATATTAAGTAGGAGGCAGGGCTTTCTTTTGCGCATCATTCCCTCATAGCTATCTAAATAAGAGGGGCGTGGTTAAGAATACTAATAATCTTACATAGCGCTCATGTTGATGTCAACAGAAGGATCACCACTCTAAAGGAAGAAGCAAATGGTCAGACGTTGATCGAAGATTACCAAAACAAACTTTTTTTTTCAGTGGATTAAATATTCATCTTAAGAATAACAATGTGAGCTGGCAAAATAAACATTGAGAAATTTGACTCCACACAGACTTTAAAGTCAACGTGAACCGGAAGTTGCTGAGACTTTTCAGTATGTTAATGTACTTCCAACTGAAGCTAAATATTGAGTATGGGGGCATGGCTTTCTTTTTCCAAATCTTTCCTTAGTAAGCATGTGATCCTTTCCTTCCGACCAGTGTACACCCACCTTTAAGGCTGCATTTATTTGATCAAAAATACAGTAAAAACTGTACAATTGTGAAGTATTATTAAAATTAAAAACATTATTGACTGTAGTCAATAAATTTCATGTGTTCCTTTTTATTCTTTAAAAAAATTACAAATATTAATAGTGTGCTTCTTTTTTATTATTATTTTAAACCCACTGCAACTGCAAGTGACTTGGGGAGGGGGGGGCAACTTGTATGAAATAAAATATCTGTTTATCAATATAGTTCAATTATTATTATTATTGATTGATTAATTTCACTTCATTAATCCCAGGGGGAAATTTATTTGTCGAAGGAACACACATCACACAAAATACAGTGTTAAATACACCATAAGGTAACAGTGCAATTCAATGCTCAGTTCAGGAAACTATATGCATTTGCTATATAGTAATGTACATGTTATTTGATTATATGTTATATGTACCTGCTGAATGCTCTGTACGGCAGAGTTGGTTTCATCTCCCACAGCAGCAGGAAACTCAGTGTTTTTGCTGGTGAAGTCGCTGTACTCGTCTGAATCTGACAGCTCGGGCTCATGAGGAAGGAGTTTTGCCCTCTTCTTGGAGTTCCTGGAGACTTTTTCAGTAAGAGAGCTTTTGTCCAGAGTCAGAGGAGGCTGAAAAGCAATGATTATTAATAAAAAATATTCAAATGTCCCATATGCAAAACTATCCTCCTTTCGTTTTCATTCGCATGAAATATAGGAATTTAAAATACAAACCTGTGCAATACTGATGGTGGAGGCGTCGACTGTTGATGGTTCTGAAATATCAAATTCACTCAATCGTACCGCCACGATCTAGAGAGGAACCACATGTCAAATGTTGTCAGAATCTGGTTAGATACTTATTTATAATCTTTTAATATAATACATCATTATGATAAATTTAGTAATATTATAAATGATTAAAATTTTGCCTAGTGGATTAAAGGGTTGTGGCAATATATAAAATTATAAAAAATTAGTGCTGCTAAATGATTAATAACAACTAATTACACACACAAACAAAAATTTGCATTTACAGAGGTCTGGGCATATTGTGTATATATAAGGCGGGCGATGCAGTGGCGCAGTAGGTAGTGCTGTTGCCTCACAGCAAGAAGGTCGCTGGTTCGAGCCTCGGCTCAGTTGGCGTTTCTGTGTGGAGTTTGCATGTTCTCCCTGCGTTCTCAGTTGAAAGACATGCGGTACAAGTGAATTGTTCGTAGTCTATGAGTGTGTGTGTGGAAATGAGTGTGTATGGATGTTTCGCAGGGATGGGCTGTGGCTGGAAGGGCATCAGCTGCGTAAAAACGTGCTGGATAAGTTGGTGGTTCATTCCGCTGTGGCGACCCCCATATTAATAAAGGGACTAAGCCGACAAGAAAATGAATGAATAAATATATAAGGCGACACGGTGGCTTAGTGGTTAGTACTGTTGCCTCATAGTAAGAAGGTCGCTGATTCGAGTTCTGGCTGGGTCAGTTGGCATTTCAAAGTGGAGTTTGCATGTTCTTCCCATGTTAGTGTAAGTTTCCTCCGGGTGCTCTGGTTTCCCTCACAGTCCAAAAACATGTGCTATAGGTGAATTGAATAAACTAAATTGGCCATAGTGTATGTATGTGAATGAGTGTGTATGAATGTTTCTCAGTACTGGGTGGCGGAGGGAAGAGCTTCCGCTTTGTAAAACATATGCTGGATAAGCTGGCGGTTCATTCCGCTGTGGCGAACCCTGATAAATAAGGGACTAAGCCGAAGGAAAATGAATGAATTTTGCATTTAAGATGCAAAAACCTCTAAGTGCCATCTGAAATTTTCATCTAAAATTGGCATATTTCTCAGGCTCCTGTGTTATGTCTAGGTTCAGTAATTTAACTATTATGGCAAAGAATAGGTTATTTTCATCTCTTTTAACATGAAAAAACAGAAGACAATTTCAGATGGCACTAAGAGTTTTTTGCATCTAAAATCTTCACACTATATATATATGTGAAGAGTTTAGATGCAAAAAACTGTAAGTGCCATCTGAAATTGTCTTCTGTTTATATATATATATATATATATATATATATATATATATATATACATACAGTTGAAGTCAGAATTATTAGCCCCCCTGTTTATTTTTTTTTTCCAATTTCTGTTTAACGGAGACAAGATTTTTGAACACATTTCTAAACACAATAGTTTTTATAACTGATTTATTTTATCTTTGCCATGATGACAGTAAATAATATTTGACAAGATATTTTTCAAGACACTTCTATACAGCTTAAAATGACATTTAAAGGCTTAACTAGGTTAATTAGGTTAACTAGGCAGGTTAGTGTAATTAGGTAAGTTATTGTATAATGATGGTTTGTTCTGTAGACTATTAAAAAATATAGCTTAAAGGAGCTAATAATTCTGACCTTAAAATGTTGTTTAAAAAATTAAAAACTGCTTTTATTCTAGCCGAAAAAAAACAACTAAAGACTTTCTCCAGAAGAAAAAATATTATCAGACATACTGTGAAAATTTCCTTGCTCTGTCAAACATCATTTGGGAAATATTAAAAAAAAAAAAAAAATTCAAAGGGGGGCTAATAATTCTGACTTCAACTGTACATATATACATATAACACATATTAAAAATGTTAATAGTATCTTAATACAAAATATTTAAATATACACCGTACACGCATATATAAAACTTATTTTGTACACAATTAATTGTTAAACAGCACTAAATAATATGATTTTAGATTTTAGGGTAACACTATGATCCTTAAAAAAAGATATTTAAATGCTAAAATAGATCATTCTTGTCTTAATAATAATAATAATAATTATATTATTAATATTAAATTTATAATGATAATATGTTTATATATAAATATGATTAAATTTAAATATACATATTATATTAAATAAATAAAATCAAACATTCGTTCATCCATACTACACTCTTATTGGTTTGATGCTTTAAATGTATATGCCAAATGTGATTTTAAAATGTACGAATTATACAATTTAAGTTATTTTTCTGTCATTGTTGGCACATCATTAACATCTTTCTGGTCATATTACACACCAGTGTGCTTTAATTAAAGTTATTTAATTACCATCAATATGCAAATGGTCTTTTCAGTGAAAAAATAAACAGTAAGTCACCTCGGGATGTTTTCGGCGCATGTGGCGGTTCATGGAGGCCCGTGTGGAGACTTTGGTGCCGCACAGATGGCAGCTCTGAGCTTCCACCTTCTCATGGGTCAACTGTGTGTGTTTCTGAAGCATGTACTGCGTCACGTACTTCTTGTCACACACGGAGCATGAAAACGTCTTTCCAACTGTTAAAGAGAGACAGTAAATTCACAGACCTTCCAAAAGACCTCAGAAGCAATCATTAATTCATTTTTTTGTCTTTATATCAGTTGTTTTACTCTCAAATGCTAGTAGCTATTCAGTAGGGCTGCATAATATATCACAAAATTAGCATTATCGCATTAATAGTATATACATTGGATCCCAGCCGGAGCATGCTTAAGTTATCGATGACATGTTGTTCAGTTTAACAGGAAAAGAAGCGATCTCGCTCAGCACAGAGGACATTGCTTTAGTTTTATCGTTTTGTATTATTTTTAGTCGTTTAGGATGCAGTGACACGCAGTCAAATATTTTGCTAAACAGATCCACCGCTTTTGACTTTCATAAATGATTATAAAAGCCCTCGTGCTGCAGGTATTAGGTTTGCTGAAGATGACGTGCAGCCAGGGGTTTGCGTCTTTAATAAGCTATGACAGTTTGTGTTCATTGAAAAGTAAAAATGATTAATAAATTCATATGAAGCAGTCCCATAAAAGTCACGTTGAGTCTTCAGTTTCGGGCTCAGGCGTGCTTTGCACTCACACTACAACCGAACCGCACTCTGGCACACCTCTTCCAACTAGGTCAGGGCCGGCCAACTGAACCATGCCTGAGCCCAATTGGGAGCACTCACACTTGTCAAGCCAACCGGGAAACGGTTCGCCTGGGCACGGTTCGGATAGCATAGTGTGAGTACGCCCTTAAAGACTACATTTTTGCAACTTTACACAGTTTTTTTTTTTTTTTTAGAAAATGTCTTTTACCCATTTACTTTAATATCATTAAATAAATAAATGGTTTTAAAACATAGCTAATAAAAAATAGCATTTTTCTAGAAAAGATTTATATCGTAAATAATATTATTATCGCAATACTCAACAACAGTATGGCATATCACCTATTTTTCCAGTATCGTGCAGCCCTACTATTGACTTTATTTTGATGAGTCACCATGATTTCAGCTTAAATCAGTAAATTGCAGCCTTTTGATAGTAAACAGTTTACTGAAACGCAATCAGTGTAACATGCTATACCTGTATGAATAAGCTTGTGCGTCTCCATTGTGTTTCTCTCGCTAAACGTCTTCCCGCACAGTTCACACATGAAGTCCTTTGTGCCTGGAGGAATACATTATTACATTCAATTTATATACATTTTATTATATGCATCATGTTTATTATTATACTTCTGTATATGACTCATTCCATAACTGAGGGCACATTTGAAGCATTTTGCATTCATTTTGCTTAAAGGATATACACAACAAATGTATCATTTACAGTAAAACAAATCTGTTATTAATGTAAAATACTGAAGCATTTTTAAATGTGATAAGAAACAGTTGATTCTGTTACTAATTGTTGTTGAACCTGTTTTAAACCACCAACAGAGCTGACAGTAACAGAGTTGATATTTTCCACCACTATGTGCTGTGCTTCAAGATGCTAACCTTAAACCAGACGCCCCACATGCCATGTCTAAAACAGATTTTTATTTATTTTTCATATTATTGTTTTTGTGTTTTAATAAATGAAAACTTCACTGTAATATCAGAATAACAGGGTTGACATATACTGTAACTATTCTTCTATTGGTGTATCCTAAAAATTCTGTCCAAATGAAGAATAGTGGCTTTCCTCAATGCTTTCGTGAGTTTCCCACCAGAGGAAGTGACATCACTTGGAGCAACTTGCATGCTTTTTCTATCAGAGCTCAACAGACTATTATGCATTTTTATTGACCAGAACACACACACACAGACACAAAATATATACTTTTATCACTGAAATGACAAATAACACAGAAAGTAGTTATTTAATACAAAATTTTAACTCAGTAAAGTAAGAATGAAAATTAGACTTTATAGCTCGTGAAGCTGAATGTGTGATTCAGGACATGGAAAATCAAACCTCAAAGTCTAAAGCAGATGACACAAAAGCACTAAGGGTGTATCCGAATCCAATTTTTAAACTTATGCAAACAATAATATTTTTTATTACATTTTAATCCTATAATTTTTCATATTTAAAGATGTTTCTTCATTGCTGTACATCCCTGTGTGTGTAATAAGCAATGTTTATGCACATTTAGGATTCACATAGGCACATAACCAATGCACTCTTTAATAACAGAATAACAAAAAAAAACTATTTTATTTTATTTTATTTTATGCATTGGTTATTTATCAAAATTTGACCAATTATATGGGGGCTTACTATGTTTACCCCACCTCCCCTGTAGTTGCTGTTCTGTTTTCATTTATTCATAGGGCTGTATTTTAACGAACTAAGCACAAAGTCTAAAGCAGATGGCACAAAAGCACTAAGGGCGTGTGTGGATACACTTTTTAAATGTTTATAGACAATATTTTTTTGTTAAATTTTAATCCTTTAATTTTTCATATTTAAAGATGTTTGTGCATTGCTGTAAATCACTGTGTGTGTAAAAATAAGCAACCTGTATGCACAATTCGAATCCATATAGGCATATAATCAATGCACTCTTTAATAACAAAATAACAAAACAAAAAAAAAGTTTATTTTTTGCATGGGTTGTTTTATCAAAATCTGACCAATCAGATGGGGGCTTACTATCTTTATGCCCACCTCCTGATAGTTGCTGTTCCGCTATTGGCTGAAGCAGCCCAAAGGTGAACCCAGGGCTGAAAATAAATACTAATGGCCGGAGGAAAAGATGAAAAAGAAAAATGACAATAGCCAATTCAGAGTCTGAATAATTGCTCATGTTTTCACTCATTCATAAGGCTCTATTATATTGAAGTCCAAAGTTGTAAGCGGATGGCACAAAAGCACTAAGAGCGTGTCCGAATGCACTTTTTAAATTTATGTAAACAATTATATTTTTTTCTAAATTTTAGTCTATAAATTTTTCACATTTATAGATGTTTGTGTATTGCTGTACATCCCTGTGTGTGTAATACACAACGTGTATGTGTTTTGGATCCACATAGGCACATAACCAATGCATTCATTAATAATAAAAACCCTGAGATATTGACTTTAGACCAGCTTTTAGACGGCCAATGGTGCGGTCTGTGTCTGTTGACTCAAAATAGCAAAGCACCAACAATGCGCCTCAACACACCCATAAGTGGTGCAAATTGCTTTTTAAACAACATGGCACGAAACGTGAAATTGATTACGTCCCAAATATGAAAATTAGACTTTATAGTTTACATAGCTAAAGATACATAGAAAGATTTATTTTTACTTTTTGAACTTGATATTAGGGTTGGGCGATGTCGACCAATTAGGCATAGTACGATGTCTAATGCAAAACATAGCAATGGACGATGGCAGCATCATCATGTGGAAAAAAAAGGGGGTGGTTGGGTTTAGTGGGGGGAGGAGGAGGGATCCGGGGGTGAGAAGGGTGCGCGACTTATTTGAGGACCGGGAGGGAGACGTGCGATTTCCAGGAGTTTATCACTCGTTTGGGGGCATTACGAGTCCCGCAAATGCATAGAGACGTTTAACAACTATAGTGAGACGCGATCCAGTGGTACACCCTTCATAAACTCTCCGATGTGCACTGCTCTCTGCCTGGAGCTCAGAGGAGCGCATTACAGCGTGTGGCTGTGTGTGTGTGTGTGGCTGTGTTTGTGTGTGTGTGGTCACATGATGTGCGTTTTCAGGGGACGGAGGGCTGTTCAGTAAAACATGGTGTGGATCATTTTCGTTCTAAAATGCCATTTTAACACTAAGACGTATTAATGTAAACAGGGCCTGAGTGTGTATTTTTCGTGAGTGGGTTTGCGACGGGGGCGGGGCAGAGGATTGGCGATGCCGGCTTAGCATCGTGTTGTCTATTGACCATAGGCGATGGACGATGGTATCGGAATAATGTTCTATCGGAAATAAATTGTGTTGTAATTTAAAACCGTTTCATTATTTTATTTATTTTTTTTTTTTTGAAAAATGATGAACAAAATGTACCCACAATTCCACAGTCTCCATATGCTCCTCACCTGTGTGTCTTTTATAATGCTTCAGCATGTTGACCTTTTGGGCGAATTTGCGGTTACACTCTTTACATTCGTATTCTTTGATTCCCTTGTGCAGCTTCATATGATGCCGTAGAGCATGTTTTGTCTTCATACCTTTGGAATAACACAAATGCATAAACATCGTACTGTAAATGCATTGCTTTATGGGTGATTTATGGTTACGATATGCTAAAATATCCGTACCTTTTCCACATTCTGCACACAGAAAGTCTCTGACGTTATCATGAACTCTCAGATGCTCCTTCAGCATGTCTTTCCTGGCAAACGACTTTCCACACTGTTCACAGCAATGGCTCTTCACACCTGAGGGTTTATCACATATGACTATTATACTATTGTTTGCACATGAATGCGAGGGTCCTTATACAGTGCATATGATGTATATTTCATTACCAGTGTTATACTGTTGTGTTTTGTGCATTCATAATGATTTTCATTGCCAACACTGACATTTTAATGACACTTTTATTAGTGCTGTCAAACGATTAATCACAATCCAGGTATATAATATATATACATGTGTACTGCATATTGGTGTGTATATATGTAGAAATACACACACACATACTGTGCATAAAATACAAAAGATAAACGCTCACCGGCCACTTTATTTGGTACACCTTACTAGTACTAGGTTGGACCCTCTTTTGCCTTCAGAACTACCTTAATCCTTTGTGGCATAGATTCAACAAGGTACTAGTAATATCCTCAGAGATTTTGGTCCATATTGACATGATAGCAACATACAGTTGCTGCGGATTTGGGCCCAAAGTGTGCCAAGAAAGCATCCCCCACACCAATACACCACCACCAGCAGCCTGAACCGCTGATACAAGGCAGGATGGATCCATGCTTCATGGTGTTGATGCCATATTCTGACCCTACCATCTGAATGTCGCAGCAGAAATCGAGACTCTGCCACTCACTGGATATTTTCTCTTCTTTGGACCATTCTCAGTAAACCCTAGTGTGCTTTAGTGTGAAAATCCCAGTGGATCAGCAGTTTCTGAAATACAGCCTTTCTGGCACCAACAACCAAGCCACGTTCAAAGTCACTTAAATCACCTTTTTTCCCCATTCTGATGCTCAGTTTGAACTGCAGCAGATCGTCTTGACCATGTCTACGTGCCTAAATGCATTGAGTTCCTGCCATGTGATTGGCTGATTAGAAATTTGCATTAACAAACAGCTGGACAGGTGTACCTAATAAAGTGGCCGGTCAGTGTGTATGGGCATATATATTTAAATATAATTTGTATCATTTATAAATATTTATATGTATTTAAATATAAACAAATACTTTATACATTTATTTATATACACAAAAAATTCACAGTACGCACAAATTAATATTGTGTCTTTTATTTTGTATGTGAATAATCATGATTAACCGCTTGACAGCGCTAATAGACCCTTTTCACAGCGGAATTGAACACCGGAAGCGCCCTTCGAAGCAGTGTATCGATATTTCCGGGTTCGCTAGGAGTCGCAGAGACATGACAGCCTCGGGACAGCGGATGACTTTCTCACGGTCAACTTTGCCATAATTTGGACAGGAAGATGTTGTTCGGTGAATGTGTAAAACTGCCTTAATAAAACAGCATTTAAAAGATGATACCGATTTGCAGAGTTTGTGCAGAAAACGTGTCTTACACAGCGTTTGCAACGTCAGGTTCCAGTAAAGTGCACAGCCAACAGCATAAAATCTGCTCATTCAAGCCATTCGTAAACTAGATTAACCTGGCTATTTAACATCCAGCAGGATGAGTTTTATGTCAGTAGTCCCGTCTGTAAACTGTGCTAACCCCTTCCTTCCTTTTTATTCAGAGTCAGATATAGTGAATGGCGAGTTGCTATCGGTTAATACATTACAGGTTGTTTAATGCTCGTGAGGTTTTCTCAAGTCTGGAAACACGTTAGCTCTTACTCGTGGATAATATTCATTTTTATTATTTATTTAAAGAACAGCAAATAACATTTTACAATACAAAAATGTACATACCAGGGGGTAATTATAAATAAAATACAAATATACAAAATGTAATAAAACATATGTTATAATAAAATACATGGTAGAGTTCACACATTTTAAAGTGGGTCGAGTTGATACTGGTATTATACAAGCATATTTCAGTCATCAATACCTTAAAATCTGGTTTCATATTAGTAAATTTACATTTTGAATGTACAATTTTGTTAACAACATAAGCAAATTAAATAAATAAAACTATTTTCCTCTAGATTAGGATAATCAAGTAAAGCCCAAATGTACATATATCCATAATGAAAGAGGTTTTGAACACAAAAGAATCGTTATTAATACATTTTGCAGCTCACCCCATAAGCTGACTATGTACAATGCCAAAATAAGTGTAAAACTGTCTCCTCATATTCGTTACAAAAATACAATTTACATAAATCCCACTTTTAAATTTTTGCAAACAATGTTTTGCTGGATAAAACCTGTGGATGAGTTTATAGGACATTTCTTTAATTCTATTTCTAACATGATACTTCTGTGGTAACAGCCACACTTTTCTTCAATTCACACTTTAATAAAGACATATAATAAAATTGAATATAAGGTACAGTAATGATTTATTTTTGGAAAAGAGTATGAATAGCTCTATCATTACTCTTGGTATTTAGTAAAACAAAATTTGCCGACATAAGATTTAGTAATATCAAAAGACGATGCATCAGAAGGATGGTCTTATTAATACCTCTAAATAACATGAATGAATAACATCTCTGCATTGAACCAATAACAGTTGAAAACTTGCTGGGTTATTGAGATTTTGTAATAAAGGAGTTCATTGTAAGAAAAGTTTACCATCTTTATTATATAACTCACTAAACAAATAATTTTGCTGTCAAACCAACTAAAAAAAAGAGATTTGCATTTGTATGAACTGTCTATTCCAAAATAACAACAATGTAGGGATAAATCATGCTTATAGATTAATGACCATGATGAGCACTTGTTTGTGGAAGGCAGATAGCTTAACTGGAGTTTTGTCTATATTATAATTACTCATCAAAATAAACCATAGACCATCAGTTTTTAATGAAACATACTAATCTCCGCTTGAAGTGCATACAGCATAAGAATGTACTCCCGCATATAACTTGAAACGGCATTCAACCCCCTTTTAATATTGTCATCCATGATTTTCCCTGTTGTTCGTCTTTCGGGAGATCGTGGTCATTAAAGTAAGAGTGTCGTTTTTGAGTTGGAGCAGCTGGGAACGCAGCAATCACAGCGATGAGATGACCCTGCCATTCTTTCTTGCTACGTCGCATTGAAACCGGATGTTGTGGTACACTGCTTCGCTTACCGGAACCAGGAAGTGTGAAAAAGGCCTATTTGTATTGGTTATTACCGTTGGACAGAAAAAACACAAACACTAGAAAGTATAAAGGAAGAGTCAGGAAGTAGGGGACTGGAAAGATACTACACGTGCGCAACTCAATTTTTCTAACCGTGCATATGAAGTACAAGCAGCTTGCACATGTGCTTTGAATCATTTTTGCACTACTTGGTTTGTCCACAAGATGTCAACACTGAAGTGGGACTCATTTCACAATCAGAAAAGAAACGAGTGGAAAACAAACATCATTATCGGTGTGCAATAACCACAGACGTATTGAGTTGACAAGGCAATGTGTGAACAGAACAATGGATATCAGCTACTGTATTTTAAACATGGACAAAGTCATTTTATCAATTATAACATCTGTGAAAAAGCACATATTCGCCATGTTATTTCAATATGGAGCGTGACTTTAAAGGTTTTACATCAGCTTTAAAACTATTCTGTTAAAATGTTATATTTATAGTGAAATGTCGTGTACACTCCATCATTTTAAACACTCTCATGAGAGGTCAGGAAATGCAGTAAGTCATGAAGTGTGTATTAGCCAGAAAACTCAAATGTGGTCATATTTCTGCAAAAATAAATTGCTGGTATTTAAAGCTGGATTATTTCTTGTTTACTGTAAACAGCTGCTTTGATGCAATTTGCATTGTTGTAATGTGAAGTGAATGTGGACAAGGACTGAGTATCCTTTTGCAGGTTTTATTAAACAGAGTGGTCAGGCAAGCAATGGTCAATACAGGGACAACAGAAGTGAATGGGCAATCCAAAGTCGTAGTCGAAATAACAGCCATAGGTACGAAGGCAGGGAGTATACAACGTAAACAAACAAAACAAAGCAAGATCTAAACACTAGTGATATGACATTGTGCGCCGAGGCTTCGAAGCATGTATCAAAAAAACGATGCTTCTCGCAGTGAAGCAGTGTACTGGAGCTTGATTCATTTTGCCATCATCACAGGATCAGTGACGTCCGAAGCTTCATTTTCACCTATAACCACGTGACTGGTTCAAATATTGATTCAAATTTTTAAACACCCTCATGGGTTAGTAAGGCGCATATAGTAAAGTGCATAGCAAGAGATAAGGCGTCGATTACATACATTTCTACTGTTTCAAAGCACTGCACCGGTCCCACACACCAGTAATTAAATCAAAATACAATAGTAAATTATAGTAAAAAGGATTTGAACCATACTAAAGTGTATTAGTGTATTTTTTTACAACTACCTTTAAAGAAAACCCCTGCATATAAGTAGTATACTAGTGTTGAACAGAGGCCAGCTGGCGAGTGCAGCCCAAAAGCATCGCTCACATAGCCTCCTCCTAGAGCATTCGCCTCCCATGCAGGAATCGCTGATTCGTTCCCCGCTTGGAACGGGACTAGTTGGAATACAACAATTGTAAATATTTTTGAATACCTTGGATTTTACTACAGTCATCGGTTGTGTAATGTGACATACCTTATGTGTAAAAACTACAGGAATTGAGTGATTTGTTTATATTTCTGTTGTTGTATTACTACATGAATGAGTTTCACTGGTTCAGAAAGCTTCATTTCAACATCACTACTAAACAAGGAAGGCAAGGCAAGGGATAAACGCATCGTAATGTTCACAATCAGTTTACAAGAGTGTCTTTAAAGTGAGCCATACAGTATATATGTGTGTGTAATCAGTCCATGAGATGCATCAGCTGTGGGAGATTAATCAATGGTGACTTAAAGCAGGTGTGTGTGTGTGTGTTGCATGACTGGATCTGTAGTTTATTTTGAGGCAGGATTGTAGTTCTGGTGAATGTGAATGTTCTCCAGCTATCTATGATGGGTAGATCACTGTTGATCGTGACAACTGTACATATTCCCTGAGCTAAAAAGTTTAACGTATCCTTGAATTTAAAGAATTTTTCATTTTGTGACTCTTTTCGAGTGTTGATTTGGCACCCGTATTGTAATGAATAAATAAATAAAAACATACCCAATCTTAGTGTTCATACATGCTTACAATAGATTTAAAAACTTGAAAATTCAACTGTTTGCAAATGTTGTAGCCTTTCTGGTCTAAAATACGTTTTTTTCCTACCTGTGTGGATGATTTTGTGCCTGTCCAGGTTCCCGATGCTGTTAAAGATCCGTCCACACATTTCACATGGATGAATATATCTGAAATATATTAGACAACATTTCTAGATTCCATCAACAAATATGATATTCTTCTAAACAGAAAGCTCTGAACATCTTCAGTGTGGTGGTCTTACTTCTGCACTGCAGGATCAGGCAGGTGGTCTCGGTGAATAACTAGATGAGCGTTGTATGTGGCTTTCAGAGCAAAGCGGCGATTACACATCGTGCAGTTGTAACCTTTTTCCTTATGCATTTCCATTATGTGTTTCAAGTAATCACGGCCCTTGGCGAATGTCACCTGAAGAACATAAACAGATGACGATTCGTGAATAAATGTTTTGTTATTAACAAAATATTATGGCTCCTAAAAAAAGAAGGATTATAGAAGTCTATACATCCCATTTTATTTGTATCAATATTTACAACTATAGAAAAATATAAAAGACCGCTTGAAAATTCTCAGTTTCTCTTGATTTATAATTTATAGTTGTGTGTTCAAATAAAACTTTTGTTCAAAAAAAACATTTTTCTTCCTTATTATTTTGTATTATTCTGTAAACTATTGATGACATTTCTTTTAAATCTAAAGTAAAAACATTGTCACCAACAGCATTTTTTGCAAAAGATAACAAAAAGATGGCAGGTTTTTAGATACGTTTATATTTATTTTTGTACACTCAATACCAATGTTTCCAGAAGTTAATGTTTATTGAAATAACACTGATTCTTAATCATAACAACTGAAAACATCTGTCATTCATGACCAATTATTATTTTCCAAAACGAAAAAAGAAAAAAAAAATTATAAATATATACATTTTCCCAGAGATGGGTTGCGGCTGGAAGGGCATCCGCTGCATAAAAATGTGCTGGATAGGTTGGCGGTTCATACCGCTGTGGCGTCCCCGGATTAATAAAGGGACTAAGCCAACAAGAAAATGAATAAATATAAATATATTTATATAAATATATTTTGTATGTTATGTGTGTGTATTATATACTTATAAATATATTTATTACTCAAATACATGCCTCATAAATACAGGAAGAGAAACTAGAAAATTTTCAAATGCTTTCCTCAAAATTTTTTCACACCCCGGTAATAAATTGGTAAATATTGCTGCTGCTTATTACTATTTAATAATAAATATATAAAATAAAAAAAATCGAAACATGCACTGATTATTTTAATCTGACTTGCATTAAACATTGTATCTATATTGCAATGAAAAAATTAATGTGAACGGAAACACAATTCAAATATGCATCTGTGAGCATTTAGAAAAAAACATTGAATAACTGAAACAGCATCATAGTGTTGCAGTGGGTAGCACAATCACCTTACAGCAAGAAGGTCGCTGGTTCGAAACCCAGCTGGGTCAGTTTTCTGTGTGGAGTTTGCATGTTCTCCCCGTGTTAGCCTGGGTTTCCTACGGGTGCTCCGGTTTCCCCACAAGTCCAAAGTTATGCGCTATAGGTGAACTGAATAAACTAAATTGGCCGTAGTGTATGTGTGTGCATGAGAGTGTGTGTGGGTGTTTCCCAGTGATAGGTTGCAGCTGGAATGGCATCCGCTGTGTAAAAACATATGCTGGATAAGTAGTTGGTGGTTCATTTCGTTGTGGCAACCCCTGATTAATAAAGGGACTAAGCCCAATAGAAAAACTGAATGAACTGAATAAATACCGTGAGTGGCTCCTCGTTTACCTGACATTTCTTGCAGCTGTATTTGTGATGTTCGGGATCGTTCTTCTCATCTTCCTCATCAGAGCTGTCGTCGCTCTCCTCCATAGAGATGCCAATCTTCTTAATGAAGTCCTCTCGCTCCTGCTCATCCATTAGGGCGATGTCCTGGAAAAGATGCATTTTGGGACTCAATAAGTGGACATCATTATATTCTTGTGGGTTGGTCATTTTGTTTTCATATTCAATACAAGATGGATGGATGGCATAGATAGACGGACGGACGGACGGAGATAGATAGATAGATAGATAGATAGATAGATAGATAGATAGATAGATAGATAGATAGATAGATAGATAGATAGATAGATAGATAGATAGATAGATAGATAGATAGATAGACAGACAGACAGACAGACAGACAGACAGACAGACAGACAGACAGACAGACGGACAGAAGGACGGACAGATAGAAAAAATTCCTCCACACCTTAAAGTGCACGTGGATGTGATCTCTCAGGACGTCCACACGGAAGAACTTGCGACCACAGATCTCACAGGTGTATTTCTTGTCCCCGTGGGTCAGTAAATGTTTGTTCATATTACTCCGACATGAAAACACCTTGAATAATAATTTTTAAAAAAGCTTGGTTACACTATTTTTTTAATAGTGCTTTGTTTTTGTTTACTTTCTTTTTTAATTTAAGGTGTCTTTTTTAGAGTGTAACTATCCATTTAATGTACTTACTATATGTGGTAAGGGTCAGCATGAGGTTTTGGCCTAGGGTTAGTTGCACGAAATTATGTATAATGAATTAATTATTTGAAATTACTTTAGCAATTATATTGAACGTGTAACAAGAATGCCTGAAAATAAAAAAATATCTGTTTTATTTTTTCATTTCTTCAATGCCCTCCACTAACATTGGAACCCTTTATAAATATGGGCAAAGAAAACGTAAAAATTCGGAAAAAAAAGAAAAATTTTAAATGTAAAAATACTACAGTAAAAATGTGTAACCTAATTAACAGTTCCTTGCATTAATATATATATACATACACACAGTTGAAGTCAGAATTATTAGCCTCCCTGTTTATTTTCCCCCCAATTTCTGTTTAACGTAGAGAAGATTTTTTCAGCACATTTCTAATCATAATAGTTTTAATGACTCATTTCTAATAACTGATTTATTTTATCTTTGCTATGATGACAGTAAATAATATTTGACTAGATATTTTTCAAGACACTTCTGTACAGATTAAAGTGACATTTAAAGGCTTAACTAGATTGATTAGATTAACTAGGTAGGTTAAGGTAATTAGGCAAGTTATTGTCTAATTATATTTAGATAACTAACTATAAATATTGTTAGCTATTTCTCACACCTGCAAGGTTTCAGGCTTCTTTTTTTACTCTACATCTTGCAATTATAATTTTCTTTTTTCACTTTTTTATCCACAATTCTGAGTTTACATCTTACAATTCTAAGAATGTTAGTTAGATCTATGCATGGGATGATAACCGATTTCAAGGTTTAACACAGGTTGGAAAAGCCAAGTTTTTAAAACCGCTATAATTTTCTGTTATACCGTTCCTACGGTATATGTAAGTTTTTATTTTTTTACATTTTTTAATGACTATTTTGTTTAGTTTTTTTAGGGCAAAAATATCTGCTTGTAGAGAAATAATGACTTATTTTTATTTTTTAGCCTGACATGTTTACTGTTCCAAAATATTTTAAATGTTTTTTATAATGTAATCTTCAATCTATTCAAACATCACCTACACCACAAAATGTAAGAATTAGGAGAAAAAATTATCTGTTCTCATCCTAAAACAAACTCAAGCTTTATCAGGACTATTTGTTCATATTTTGAGCAAAAAATCAATGGGTTAAATAAAAAAGAGGTTGAGGAGCATCACCTTTCCACAAATAGGACACGCTGAAGGCTCCTTTCTGTATTTGCTTCCCTCCTCACCGTTGACTTCAAGCTCCTCACGTTTCAAGTTCTTCGGGCCTGTGGAAAAGCCATTTATGCATACACAGAGGAAGTGACATAATGCTTGATGATCTGTGCTTAAAGCGAAGGGCATAGAAAGTTAATGAAGCCTAGAAACAGAGCAGATCTGTTTACTGCTAGTGTTTATTTACTGATTAGAGGAGTGTTTCCCAACCTTACTCCTGGAAGCACACCAACAATATATATTTTGGATGTCTCCCGTATCTAACTCATTATCTTCAGGTCTTGAGAGTCTCTTCTAATGTTTTGATGAGTTGATTCAGGTGTCTACATACTGTACTTTATATGCCATTTTCACTTTCAGTAATACTTCATAAGGATGTTAAATATGTTCCTCAAGTGTTTTCTATTTTAAAAGATTAAAAATTGATATGAAATGTATATCTCACCAACGACATGTCGCCTCTGGTGGTCCTGCATGACGTCTTTGCGGTAAAACATCTTATTGCAGATTTCACAGGCGTACAGCTTCTCTCCGTGTTTCTTTTTGTGTTTGGACAAGTTACTGTTAGTGGAGAAAAACCTGGAGCAAATCTCACACTGGAACGTTTTGTCATCTGCAACAAAAGGGAAGCATAAGAGATACGTACAGTTGAAGTCAGAATTATCAGCCCCCCTGTTTATTTTTTTCCTCAATTTCTGTTTAATGGAGGGAAGATGTTTTCAACACATTTCTAAACATAATAGTTATAAAGACTCATTTCTAATAATTTTATTATTTTTTATCTTTGCCACAATGACAGTAAATAATATTTGACTAGATAATTTTCAAGACACTTCTATACAGCTTTAAGTTAATAAGGTTAATTAGGATAACTAGGCAGGTTAGGGTAATTAGGCAAGTTATTGTATAACGATGATTTGTTCTGTAGACTATCGGAAAAAATATAGCTTAAAGGAGCTAATAATAATAATAATAATAATTATATATTTTTTTTTCTTTTTTTTCTTTTGCCAAATATATTCATTAACATTTTGTGCTGATACAATATGATATACATACAAAAATAAGTAATAATACAATGTTCAATGACCATCAGAAAAACAGTATAGTTATAAAATAACACAGTTAATGTATAAATAATAATAATAATAATAATTATATATATATATATATATATATATATATATATATATATATATATATATATATATATAACCAACAACAAAAAAACTAACTACAAAAGTAATAAATAAATAACAATAAAAACATAATTAAAAAAAATCTTTATTCCCATTTTTTAAGTCCATTGGCACAAAATTGATAAATCAACAACAGCGCGATATTTTGCTAAAACAATTAAATAAATGATATTAAAAATGAAGCTTTACCTGTCCTGCAGTTATGAAATCTTAAGGCATTTTCCACTCGGAAGGATTTCTCACAGGTTGAACATTTGTATCTATACTCAATGTCAGGCTAGGAAAAACAAACAAGTAAAACATACAGAAAAATAAATGTATCTTTTTTTTAGACGGACACAATTTTTAATGTTAATTTAAAGGGCCATGACACCCCCCCCTTTCGATTAAAGTCTACTTCAGAATTTTTTCAAAAGATGCATGATTAATGGGCGTGGAGCTCCGCGAGCATCGGGCAGGAGTGGGCGTGGCCAGCAGGGGAGAACGTGAGCGAATGAAGCTAGCTCACAAAATGAGACAAACCGTGAGGAGACGCACGAGTTTATAGTTTACAAAGTTAAAATGCAAAGAAATAAACAGTGATTTAATGCCCTGCTACATTTGTTATTCGTAATTTCATATACACATAACCACAATTTATATCATTATAAAGATAAGTGTGTTCACGTAAACCCTATAAATGAGGACTTCTCCTTCAATCCCCGTATCCAGCAGACTCAGTGCAGCAGGTCTCCTGACCCGTCTATTTTAACCATTAGCCCTGCTGGTAATCTGGAGGATTTAGGCAAACACAGCAGCACGGCGATGTGTCTGAATGTCAAGGAACTCCTGATAAAAGACAGCGTCCGCCATTCTCTAATTCTCGTGCTGCTCTCCCGACAAAAATGCTAGCAGCACACACACAGCTTTGCTGTATGATCGGCCCTGACAGGATCGCGGGGGAAAACATGCAACAAACCGCATGGATCATGGAAACAAACGCATATGAGCCTTCATGAATGGCTAAATACTGTGTGCCTGTGCCGAGGGTCCGTGACCTGCTCACAGCTCGGGCTTGACTCTGGCAGGTCTCATGAATAATTAAGCAGCCGGCTCTTCTCATAGGATAAGAAAACTCCGCTATGAATAATAATGAGAAACCGACGCGTCATCATTGCACTTGCAGTACTGCGCTACGTCACCGATTTTGATTCCGCCCCAAAAATCATTTAAAACCCGGAAGCTGAAATTTGCTGACAAAAGCTCAAAATTATCCAGTTTTGCCCACAATTAAAGCTGACAGGTGCTAACATTATCTTAACTGATGCTCAACACACACACATCTGTTAATATAAAAAAAAAAAAGTTCTCCAGGGTGTCCTGAACCTTTAAATATCAGTAAATGCAAAATAATTGATCAAAATGCCTCATACCTCATTCTTGCTGTGTTTATAGGATATGTGCTGTTTAAGACTCTCTTTTCGACTGAACATCTTGTCGCACTCGTCACACTTAAAACACTTGTCTCCTGTATGTGAAGAAGACGGTTTCGATTAGACATAAAGCATATGGCACAACTTCTAATAACTTCTCTGGGTAAACAGAGCGACAAGTCCTTTTTTAGGGATGATGGAAGACGTACCATGGGAGCGGATGTGTCGGTTGAGGTTACTGCTGTTCTGAAACACTTTATTGCAGAGGCAGCACTGGTAAACTCTTTTATGATCACCACCCGGACGAAGAGTTCGCTTTCTCAGAATAGGTCTGGCAGAAAACAGGACAAAAGGTATGATCGATGACATTATATTTCAACACAGAGATACATAAATATGTAAATCTGAGGGGAATAAAGACAAGAAAGAAAAATATATGCAGTTGAAGTCAGAATTTAACATATTTCTGAACATAATAGTTTTAATTACTCATTTCTAATAACTGATTTATTTTATCTTTGCCTTGATGACAGAACATCATATTTTACTAGATATTTTTCCAGATATTAGTATTCAGCTAAATGTGTTGGGGCTAATAATTAAAGTTAAAGAGGGTTAATAATATTGACCTTAAAATGATATTTAAAAATATAAAACTGCTTTTATTCTCACTGAATTAAAACAAATACGACTTTTTCCAGAAAAAAAAATCTCATGGGAATTACTGTGAAAAAGTCCTTGCTCTGTTAAACATCATTTGGGAAATATTTCTAATCATTTTAATAAAGAAAACCATTCTAATTATTTTAATTTCAACTGTACATATATTGGACATTGTAATATACACTAATAATTGTTTTTGCAGTTATGAGTTTGTGGATTATGTAACATAGAATTCAAATTTGTTCCTGTTGCGATACTGAGTATAAACCTAATAATTCTTTTTTTCATTGGAATATATAGGTGACTTTTATTTTGTAATTCAGAGTTTACATCTCACAATTCTGACCTATTAAAACTGTTATGTTTATAAATGACTTTACATTACATTCCAACTATTATCTTGGAATTTTGTGTTTATCTTGCCACTCTTTTTCTCAGAATTGATATTATTTCTTGAAAAGGCAAGATTCTTTATGCTTTATATAGAGTTTACATCTCACAAATCAGATTTTTTTCCTCAGAACTCTAAATTACAAACTGCGGTTCAGATATTATCTGTTTAAATAATACAAATTTGCCTTCTTTTTTCTTAGAATAATAATAATAATAATTCCTTACATTTATATAGCACTTTTCTGGACACTCAAAGCACTTTTTTGGACTACACCTGGATGACACGACAGCAGCCATATTGCGCCAGACTGCACACCATACACCAACTGATTGGTGGCGAGAACACAGAGTGGTGAAGCCAATTATGATATGGGGATGGTTAGAAGGCCATGATGGTCAGAGGATAGAGGGCAAATTTGGCCCTACTCTTTTCAAAGGACATCCTGGGATTTTTAACAATCACAGAGAATCAGGACCTTGTCTCATCCAAAAGACGGCGCTCACTGAGAAAAATTGAGTCCCCATCAATATACTGGGGTGTTAGGACCCATACAGTCCGTGGTTTGAGCGCCCCCTGCTGGTCTCACTAACACCACTTCTGGCAGCAACCTAGCTTTCCCATTTGGTCTCCCATCCAGGCACTGACTAGACGCAGCTCTGCTTAGCTTCAGTGGGCGACCATGTAAGAGTTGCAGAGAAATTATCTGTTGAAGTTCCAAGATTATAACTTTTTTGTAAACCTTTGTAGTCTTTTTTTGAGCTCTGAGGTTAAATGTTTTGTCATAATTGTGAGACAAAAATTAAATGACACATAGGTTAAAAATGTTGAGGACTGTAAGAACTCTTAAATGTTCTTTTTTTGAACACAAAACTATAACAATAATGTTAAGAAATATGCATAATATGAAAAATGTTAAAAAGACATTTTATTGCAATACATTTGTTTGTCAAATAAGTTTGAAGACAAAGATTAGGAAAAAGCATTATCAATTTGACATATTCTGTCCGCAAATTTGTAATAAATTTTAAAATATACATTATCCTGTAATGGCAAATCTGAATGCAGTGTCACATGATCCACAAGCTGAGACTGCATGCAATGCTTGGTTAATGCGCACACCTACCTCCGCCCCTAACTCTACCCCTCAGAGTGACATCACTAGCTCTGCAAAGTGCATGTGTCTGAGAGTGCATGTCTCAGACTGCATGTCCAAGTCTGCAGCCAGATACTATTGAATCCTTCAGATTTAAATTGCTGCCTATTTACATTTAATGAGTAGTTCATGCATTTTAAAACACATAAACAAACAGTAATTGTTTCCTTACTTTCCAGATGAGATGGGGGAGCGTGTCAAGCGGGATGTTTTGAGTGGCAGAGGGTCTACACTAACCATGACCTCCTGGACGTCCAGCACAGAAAGAGGGACATCAGGAGCCACAGTACTGAGAGGCTGCTCATTGGACTCGGCAACAGGAGCTTCTGCTAGCCAAAATGTGACATATAAATCTCATTTTTGTGTTACTTTTCTACTAAATGAGCATTTCCTAAAATTCCCACCTCACCTTGAGCAGAATTAGCTGCTCCACTTGGCACAGATTTCTGTGTTTTTGTCCGTCTTGGTCTGCTTTGCTTTTTGGCTGGCTCTGGTTGAATCGGAGCAATTATGGCAGTATTGTTTTGGGATAGTGCCTCTGTAACCTGCGGGACAGGTGGGTCTTCAGCTGGTGCTGGAGTTTGGCAGAGCAGCTGGTCTGGGACAGGAAGGTTCTCTGGTGGTGGTGCCTTCATTGGAGAGTCTCCAGGTTTGTTGGATGGCAATTCTAAAGAGGCAAAAGGATGAATCATGAGCAAAAAGAGATACTCTGAACACCATAAAGATACTTTAAAGCACGCATACCTGGTTGGGGTGGAAGTAAAGGTGGCCTAAGTACAGGCCGATCCATTTTTTTGGCATAAAACGCTCCATACCAGACTCTCAACTCTGTCCCAGGTAGAACATCCTGCAGAGAAGGAAATTCAAGAATTCAAGTAAATAGGCAATCAAATCTATATACTCTAAAGCCACACTGACATGAAAAATTATTATAGTGTCCACATCAAAGAATGAGGTCATTTAGCTCTGTGAGTGAAACAAACATGTACTGTTTATTTTGCTAGCTCATATTGTTATTCTTGAAGCGAATAATTGATCCACTGTTAATCCGCTGGAAAAAAAAAGTTTGCTGTGAATATCTTTAATGAAAGTCTGAACATTTGCTTCCATGTTTGGCATGGTGGTCCTTCTGTTGACGTCAACCAGAGGATTTCCATAGCAACTGCTTATTAATACCCTCTCTTACTGGTAGTTCATGATTTAGGGAATGATGAGCAAAAAAAGTCCCCGGCCCCTACTTAATACTCCGTTTCAGTTGGAAGTGCATCAGCATACTGAAATTAAAGTATCAGCAATTTCCAGTTCTTGCAGACATTAAAGCAGGATGAATTCGGATTGGCCCTCATAAGGCATGATTTCATTGCATGGTACAGCAGGGTTAAGTTCGGTACAGCTCACTTTTCAGGGCTTTTCTATTGTGTGCATATAGTTCCTTGTACATTTTTAGTGCCACCTTGAGTAAGCCAAACCTTTATCAAAATGTGATGTAAGCATTGGTCCATGAGAATAATCACTACCAGCAGTGGAAACGCAAACCGAACAGAGCCTAGTGAAAAACACCAATTGTTTGTCCGACTCTGCTTGGAAGCACGTTGTTTTGAAAGTAATTACAATGATATTGTTCCTCTGTGTCCTTACCATTATGGTTATGGTCTGAACTTCCATATTTTAAAACAATTAGACAATGAGATAAAAAATCTTATTACGGCTGATTATTACTCTTTTGATTTTTCTTTAATGACTAATCTTCGAAACCCTTCCTCTCCTAAAGCATTCAAGCTACAACCATCAAATTTACTACACACCTGCAGGCTGATCTGAAGATTTATGCTATATCTTTTCTAACTGATCTGTCTAATGGTTTTCCGAAAGCTGACTCAGGAAATCAGAGAAAATCCCGAAGAATTTTAGTGAGGGGGTGAAAACTTTCAGTAAATCTCACAGAACATTTTACACACATTCATCCGTTATATCCTTCATATATTTGGTCAGCTATATAACTATAACTAGCAAACCCTTAGAACTTGCTATCAATATGCTAATTAATGCCAAAAACATGCTAGTAACATGCTAATTCATGCTCCAACAATTCAACATCTTAATTATTGATAAAAAAAGATAGTAAAATATAATGATGTGTGGCATAAACACACCTGCGACGTATTAAAATAAACATCATCATCTTGCTGGTAGGCTGTCAGGTTCTGGTGTTTGTGGTCTGTGGCAGGCCGAACCAACATCATCCAGTTACAGTCGTCTTCATTGGACGTGTCAAAGCACACCACTGAGCCGTCCTTCTGGAATATCTGAGAAACACAACATTAAGTATAGCTCCACTGGTTTAAGAGTAGCATTCTGATGGCCTGTCCTTTACCTTTAAAGGAAAAGCCCCCTCAGTCTGAAGGCTTGAAGTCCTCGTGGCCTCAAATGGGCCAAATCGAGTCCTCCTGACCAACCGCCGAAGCACAAACACACCTTCCTTACCCTCCTCAGCTAACCTGATCTCCAAGCTGTCTGGTAAAGACGACCTTTAACATGAAAAACGATGATTACAATCAGAGTTAATATTTCATATATACTCATTCATATATATACTGTTCGACAGTACGATAGAGTTGTGTAAAATATTATAAAATTTCAAAATAACTGTTGGCAAAGGTTAATGATTACTCCAGTGTTTACTGTCATGTGATCCTTCAGTCATATCAAATCATATCATATCGGAATCAGTTTTATTGCAAAGTGTGCTTCACACACAAGGAATTTGTTTTTATATCATATCACATCAAATCATATATCATATCATATAATATATCATATCATATATATCTAATCAAATCATATCAAATCATCATATCATAATATATAGTATCAAATCACATCATATATCATATCACATAATATCAAATCATATCATTATCATGAAGACTTCTACATTGTTACATGAATATTCAGTTTGAATAAATGCTGTTTAAATGTTATATTCATCAAAGAATCTTGAAAAATAAATGTATCAACAGTTTTCACTAAAATATGATTTCTTCAAAATAAATAAATCTTATTGATGCAAACGTTTGCACAGCAGTGTGTGGATTAAGTATATAATATTTATTGTCATGTTTAAATGCTTAGAATATTTTATATTTATACATACATATATATATATATATATATATATATATATATATATATATATATATATATATATATATATATATATATATATATATATATATATACAGTAATTAAAGTCAAATTTATTCGCCCTCCTGTATTTTTTTTTTCATGTATTTCCCAAATGATGTTCAACCGAGCAAAGAATTTTTCACAGTATTTCCTATAATATTTTTTCTCCTGGCGAAAGTCTAATGTATTTTATTTTGCCAAGAATAAAAGGAGTTTTCAATTTTTTAAAACCGTTTTAAAGTCAAAATTATTAGCTCCCTTAAGCAATATTTTATTTAATTGTCCACAAATCCAAACTATCGTTAAACAATGACTTGCCCAATTACCCCAACTTGCCCAATTAACCTAATTAATCTAGTTAAGCCTTTAAATGTCACTTTAAGCTGAATACTAGTGTCTTGAAAAATATCTAGTAAAATATTATTTACTGTCATCATGGCAAAGATCAGTTATTAGAAATGAGTTATTAAAACTATTATGTTTAGAAATGTGTTGTAAAAGATCAGAAATTGGGAAAACAAATATACAGGGGGTCTAATAATTCAGGAGGGCTAATAATTCTAAAATATATATATATATATATATATATATATATATATATATATATATATATATATATATATATATATATATATAAGCTCACTGTAGACACTGCTATTGTCATAATAGAATTTTGTAATAAAATGTTTAAAAAATGCAAGCACTTTTACATTTAGTTATTTATCAGATGCAAAGTAATACAAATGACAGTGTGTTTGTAATACACAGTCATACAAATACACTATCCTCAAACATATGACAGATACAATATCTGGCCTTTGAAAACAGAACATATGGCCATCTAATTGTGGTCACTGCTGTGCCAAGACCCACTCAGAAGGCAATAGCCCAAAAGCCACGGATGGCCACTCACCGTGCCCGACTCAAAACAAACGAGTCCCTCACTGTGACGACAGGCCCCAGTTCAGGACATTCAGAGTCATGATACTGCCCACAGTCCTCACACCCTGCAGCAACGACAGTCACATGAGAAATTATGCCATCAAACAAAGACACTGCTAAATACTTAAAGGAACAGTTCACTCAAAAACTTAAATTCTGTCATTATTTCCTCACTCTTCACTTGCTTCAAACCTGTTTGTGTGTCTGCAATTAAACACAATATCTTGAATAATGTTGAAAATGAATAGCCATAAGCATCCATAGTAGGAACAAATAAGTACTATTTAATTCAAATCAAGTTTATTTGTATAGTATTTTTCACAATAATTATAGTTTCAAAGCAGCTTTACAAAAGACGCTCATCATTGCATAACAATCAACATTAATTGGTTAATGACAAATATTGTTATTAGTTACTTATAACTTTAATTAACTAGTAATAACAGTTTTTAACAGTTGAAGTTAAAACATAGTTAACCTGCAGTTATATAGTATATAGGTGATATCAATGTGTACATGATCAAAGAAGTATGGAACTATGAACTGGAAGTCAATGGCTGCCGGGTTTCCAACACTTTTCAAAATATCTTCTTTAACGGTTAACAGAAGAAAAAACTTGATTTGTAATTTTTCTTTCTCTCTACATCAATTGCTGCGTCTTTTTGTAGGTCATATATGTTTTGTATGGTGCCATCTTCTCTTGTTTCTTGCTTTATTTTACATTTTGCACAGGTTATTGTTTCATGATGGGTTTGTCTGTCTGTTCTTTGTTTTTCTGTCTGCAAAAATTATAATTAAAAAAAACAGAAGAAAAAACTCATAAATGTTTGAAACAAATGGGAGTTTGAGCAAATAATGACAGAACTCATGACAAGATGTTTAGGTGAACTTTCCCTCGAACAATGAGAATACAATGCTGCTGCATGCATATTCATAAACAAGTGAGATTATAGTTGTGCACTTACAAATAAACTCATCTGGTGTCTGCTCGGCCATCCTGACACCCTAGAGATGGTGCACAAAATACTGACATTAGATTTATAGCACTGAACAGTTAAACCATTGAAGTGATTTGTTGCATGTTGTCCTTTTGCGACGTACAAAAGAGTATGTAATAATTATTATATTTAGCAATTAAAAGCAGATTAGTAGGTCAAGTAAAAAGAGTCTGTGATGTGTTCATTCTCTTTACCTTTTATTTAATGGGCTATATACACACAGACTTTTAATTTCAGCCAGCCAGCCTCAGCGCTTCCTGTGAACTGTCTTTCAATTTCAAAATCGCCATGTTTAAGATATGATTTCTTTAAAAATCAGCAATCTTTACTGCCTGATAGATATACAATATAAAGTGGGCATCAGAACAGACAAGAAGCACTGCATTAAATTCCATTTCTCCCACCATGTCTTTAAAATATGACAGATTTGCCCCTTTGCCTGCTGCTCCTGATGATCTTTCATCTCGTTTTATGCTTGAACAACTAAACGAATGCTTAAGTCTATTAAACTGAATGTATTTTAATTACATTACAACATTGATGCTGTAATAAGAACCTTATGATATTGAAAACATTAAGCTTTCACCATAATTTTATCATTGGCTGAAGAACACTAGCTGTGCATAGAGCCCATCGACAAGGTTTTTGCTGACAAACTTGAATGTATTTTGTAAACTGTGAGCAAATTTTGATTCGATGGCTGCATCACACTGCAAAAAGTTTGAACAGGGGGAAAATAAAAGAGAAAAGGTTATAGAGTTTCCAAATGAAACAGATTTGAAACAGTCTACAATAAACAGGTAAATTACTAATACTTGAGGCTTTCATGACAGAGTTAAAAAAAAATGTGCATTTCAGTCTTTTGAAATCAAAGCTGGATGGATCAAGACTTATCGCTTTGTCCCAAAAGATATGAGAGAATAAATATACAAAAATTTTATTTATCAGGCGACACGGTGGCTCAGTGGTTACCACTGTCGTCTCACAGCAAGAAGGTCACTGGTTCGAGTCCCGACTGGGTCAATTGGCATTTCTGTGGGGAGTTTGCATGTTCTAACCAAGTTAGTGTGGGTTTCCTCCGGTTTCCCCGTATGAGTGTGTGTGTGAATAGTTTGTATAGTATATCTGTGACTAGTGTGTTTGTATAACTATCAATGGTACAACTGTTAATGCGTCTAACTGCAACCCAGTACTGGGATGCAGCTGGAAGGGCATACGCTGTGTAAAACATATGCTGGATAAGTTGGTGGTTCATTCCACTTTGGCGACCCCTGATGAATAAAGGGACTAAGCCGAAGGAAAATGAATGAATATTGCATTTTACAATTTTTTTTTAAAATTATGGTTGTATACCCTTTACACTTAATTTTTAAACACATTAGTTAAATTTGCTCATTTTTTAAAAGTTATTTTAATTTTAAATAATTTATTATTTTCTTTCAGAGGATATGTTTGTTTATAATTCATACATTTATGTATTTTATTTTGAGGGGATAGTGGGGAAAATAAGAAAAATAAAACAATCTGTAATTTTCCCTATGTTGTATTGTATATTATGATGTATTGTCTTGTTAAACACCAATAAAAGATTAAAATAAAAAATAAAAAACACATGAATGAATTCAAAGCGAAACACAACAAAAAATACTCTGTATTCATGTTACGCTATTTGTTTTTGCAAAATATACTGATTTATTAACCAATAACAATAAAAAAAAGAAACCTGGTGATCATCATTGTGGTAAAGTTGGTTTTATATTCTCACATTCATTCATTTTTGAACAGTGGCCATTTGTGACACCCTACTATAAATATTCAGTCTGAAATCGCATGCAAGTATAACTTAAAAACAACATTAGCACTATTTAATTGACCGTGAACAATGTTGTACTTTGCTAGTCCTTGCTTGCCAATATAATATCCCAATTTATAATTTGCAAAGAACACTTTTTTAAAATTATATTAAGAGGGTGAAAGCCTGAATGTGCAAATATAAAACTTTACCATGATGCGATCATCTGCAAATTGAGCAATGTCATGCAAAGCTTAACCTTGCCATGAAAACAATTACATTTTTACCAAAATAGCGAACCTAAGTTTTTTTTTTTTGTAGGTTTGTACTTTAAAAGACTGTAAAACTTTTAAAACATGTCTCTGTCAATGTTCTCAAACAATTATATTTGATTGACCAAAGTCAGACAATTGGCAATTTCACATCTGTAACATCCATAACCAAGCTTTTTGCTCATAAATACAAAAATGTTAAATAAAAATATATCAATCATCTTTGTTCTATAGTGAGCCAACGCTTCTCCTTTTGATTATCATCGTTTATTTTGATTTGTGCAGTTTATTTTACAGAATTTCTACAAAGTATGTTGTATACTGTAAACTTGCATGCTTTTTTAGGTCACCTCCATAACACATGTTTATTTTCCTCATTTAAAGTGTAAAAAATGTTTACAGGTTGATATTTTTCTGATCCCACAACTCTGTGGCTAGTTGTTTTAAAAAATATAATCAGATGCTTCAATATGTAAACATATACTCTCTCTGTGGATTTGTTTTGAGTTTTTACTTCAAATATCACATCCATAACACTGGAATTGCTCAATTGTTAAAGTACTTTTTTTTTATAAACATAAGACAAATTTGAGGATATACTAACATATTCAATTTCCAAACATGTGATGTGGATGTGCAAAACGTTAAGGTGTATTCAGCTATTTATAATACAAACAGTTTCTATGATATATTTTAAAAAATAGTTGTAAACTCTGAAGTAAAACGGTCTAAAACGTGTGGAAACATTTGTATACTAAATAATATTGCTTTCGTTTTGATAATATCTAGTGAATGATAAATGCACACACAGTGAAAAAAACCTATAAATGCAACTTTGTGCTCATTCAGACAATGCAACAGATTTTGTTGACGCTCCTCAGCACAACAATCACAACACATGACGCTCTTTAACAACGCAGAACGGGGAGCTGTCCGCGGATGAAACGCCGGAAAGCAGTCGGGGGAAACAGCACAATGCGGACAGAATCCGTGATTTGGGAAGATTTCAAACTGTAGCCGGGTTTTAACTCCGATCTCAGGCTGCGCTCGCTCTCTTTCAGCAATGCAAATGTAACAAAGAACAATCGGCATGGCGGATGGAATGGAGACGCTGAAGCTCATCTGGAGCCAGAGCGTTTGAAAGCGAAAAGCGCGAGAAACTCACACTTTTAGCGGCTCCTGCAGCTTTTAATGAAGAGCACGAGCACATTTCGCGCGATGCGTTTGAATATAAATGCTTCACAAGTTCAGCGTAAAGTCATTACCTGTTTTCCAAACGTCTACACATTTAGTGAATCCTGACTCCGGGTTCCAATCCGCTCCAGAAACCGCGCAGGACCGGAAATAAGACCCGTGATAGGGCATTATGGGAGGTGTAGTTTTCTCTCTTTCTCTACACACGCTCTAAGCGATTTTTCTCGAATATTACTTCCAACTGACTATTAGTTTTTGACTTTAACACAAATACAAAAGCAACACACACACATTAAAAAGTCGAATAAGACAAAAAGGTGTTCGTTCAGGGTTTATTGCTCAAACCAGTAAAGGTATGCTAACAAACAGAATTCCTGCATAGCATAGATTGATATTCTTCTGACATTAAAGGTCTTTGTCACGTTATTTTAATAGAGCTGTTCAGTCATGACGTCAATTTGTAGGCTAAACATGATGCTAACTTACAGGTTCCCTCAGAGTATTCCTTTTGAGGGATGTAAACAAAAACAATGGTCCCAACGTATTTCCTGTTTTACATTTTTAGTATCTTAGCTTCCAAGAATCCAAAAAGGGCCACATATTGATAAACAATGTTATGATAGCTGTTTTAACATTAAGTTATCATTGAATTGCCTCTTGTTACAGTTGAAATTAAATAGTTTGATAACAAGCAGGAAATGTTAATGGGCCAATGACATGACCACATTGAAATGGTCTCAAAATGTAATGTTATTTGACTTTTTAAACACAATCTCAAATTTTAAAAGCTAATTGTTCATTAAAAACTGCAGAAAAGCTAGCATCTGTGTGGTAGCTGTAGCCTTTACATAGCAACAAATGAACCATTAGCAAGCACAGCAATGTGTCTACGTATAATTTGTGCTATAAATAAACAGACATTATTTTTTTTTCTAATTTAATTGTAAACCACTATTCTTAACATCCCCATCGCTTTTTAAGACTACAAAAACTGAACAGCTCTTAGTTCTTACTGGATATGTGTGATCTTAATATTGCAGGTATATATGTTACGGTGAGCTTTCATGGATACAATAATCATTCGCAACAACGGCAATTCCTAAGGGCGTTCAATACATCCAATAGAAAGCACAGATGAATCAGGTTAACAAGGAGTTCTGCAATGCATATGGTTACAATGATGATATGAGGACTGATGTGTGTGATTTCATTTAAATGGCTGGGACGGCCACTTAAGCAGGACAAAAATAAAATACAAAATCTTCACGTGCCTCCTTTCATTTCACTGGAAATACAACTTGATGATGTGTTAACAGGCAAGATGTACAACACAACCTACACTAAAAACAAAACAGTAGTCCTCCCCAAATACAAATTTGACAAGCCAGACTGCTGAGGTTTCTTTCTGGCAACATTCAGAATGGACAGGCATTCAGGTTTCTTCTACATATGCAGCTCGAGTTCAAGTAAATGTCAAGCGGAGCCTGTTATTGAATCTCCCAAAGCGCAAATCCACTGCAGTTCTTCACACAGGCTCAAACAGTTGAGGTCCAAAACACAAACGGGTTGGCATTCACTGCCAACATTTCATGTGGCTTAAGAGTATATGGGAAAGAAAAACAGCACGCTTAAAATAATAACTCCTAAACAAACAATACCAAACACGCATGTATTCTAACATTTCTCAATTAGGGGGAGGGGGAATGCCCTTGCTTAGTGTTAAAAGCTTAGGTGCAACTCACTTTTTTTTTTTTTTAAACGTGTGGCACCGTGGGAAAACTAAGAGAGAAAAACACATTCTCTTTATATAGTTAGATAATGATGTATGCTTAAAATCTAAATATTAAATAAAAAATATATATAATCAATGTTTTCCCCATCTTTTTTTTGTGTGTATTATGTAATTAAAGGGTAAACGCTGAACCACACCTTTTTTAAAGCAAACATATCAGTGCCAGACTAGAACATTCTTAAACATTTATATTAACGTTATACAGCAGGGAAAATAAGTATTAAACATGTCATTTTGCTCAGAAAACATGTTTCTAAAGGTGCTGTTGAAGATATCACATACGGAGTATGTGTCAATACCACGGCCATATTTGTACAGTGCTTCCAGGACAAATGTCATTCAACCGCACTTAGTCAAGACTAAAGCCAATCTGAAGATGTTGGACTTCTGTGCTGTGTACGGGTGTAGCAACGAGCAAACAATGAAAACAAAGCATAAAGGCAGAATATTTTGTTTTTTAACAATTTTGTTTTTGTATGTTACGAACTTTTGTGCTAAACAAGTAACATTACTGATGATAATACAGTTAATGGATTCACCATAAGGCAAAGTAGCACCAACTTGCACTAAATACCAGGCTTATGCTAGTTTTGTTAAATTAAATCAGCAAATAATGTAAATGAAATATGACAACAAGATGTTGCGGTGTCATAAATTTGCATTATTGTTGGTAAAGTGAAGAAGCTCTAGTTTTTGAAGCAACTTATAAGGATGCCTGATAAGATAACAGTGCCTGCACCTCAATGTGCAAACTGTCAACCCTAAAGTATTGAATATTACAAATGTTATACAGCATTTAGATCAGAAATGATGAGCAAATTGAGACGCAGGGATATTGATGATCGATGACTTATTATTTTTGACCACTGGCAAAAATCTTGATCATAGATATTTGTCAAAATCTCTGGTTCTGGGTGGTCAGTCCTTCACTACACCTTCCCACATGGTCCCACATTAATTTCAAATGAGCTCTACCCTGTACTAAAATGGCAGCTGTATTGACGCATTCCTTCCAATAGACAACAACAGCGAAGGCGACATCGATATTGTAGGCGATATCTATGATTTGTAACAACCAAATAAGATATTTGCAAATGAAACAAACTAATTTGTTTACAAATTAAGTTATGTGTAAAAACATGAAATGACTCGGAGAAAAACACATTGAACACATGAGGAAAGGAAGGTGTGGAAAGGCAGTGAACGCCCAGACAGCAGCTGAAATCTCTCAGGGCCTACTCACACTATGCCCGTTTCCCGGATCATTTGAGAAGTGCGAGTGCTCTGAAACGAGCTCAGGCATGGTTCACTTGGCCGGCCCTGTCCCGGTTGGAAGAGGTGTGCCGGAGCACGGTTCACTTGGGTTTTGGCGTGGTACGCTTGTGTGCGAGTGCAAAATGTGCTTGATCCCGAAACTGAAAGCAAGACGTGACTTTTGAGGGACTGTCTGATGTGGATTTATTAATCATTCTTACTGTTTAATGAACGCAAACTGTCATAGTTTATTAAAGACGCAAACTCCTCACTGCACGACCGCTGCACCTTCAGCATACCTCCTAATTCCTGCAGCACGAGGACTTTATGATTGTTTATGAGCGTCAACAGTGGCTGATCTGTTCGGCGACATATTTCACCGTGTCACTGCATATCAATCGACCAAACTGACATAACTTAAGAAATCTCCACTGTGCTGATGGGAAGCGCTTACTGAACAGCGCATCATCGATGATGTAAGCGTGCCCAGGCCCAAATGTAATGTGAATGCGAGCCGCCGGTGGAGATGGAAGGGGGGACAAGCGTGCTTTGGCCCTGTTCAAGGCAACTACACATAGTGTGAGTACGCCCTCAGTAGTTCTTCAGCAACCCACTGCCCATCATCCTTGTAAATCAATATCAGCGGCTTCAGTCCAACATCTACATTAGCAGGATCATGAAGATGAAACCAGGGTGGACATTGTTTAGGTTTTTACCAAAATCTGCTTCAATTCCACATCAACAGATCCTTTAGAAATATTATTTTCAGGAAAAATGTGACATGTTTGATACTTATTTTCCCCACTGTATGTTAGAGAATGTTCTTAAAATAAATTTCGGCAAATAAAAGTCACTATTCTCCCAGATTTGTCTCTCACACAGTATGAAAACTCACATATTCAATTCACATCAAGGCAGAGAGGTCTTTCACATGTTATAACAGAGCACGTTCGCATCCAAAATCCCGCAAAATGCACTGCGCCACCACTGCAAAATGAGTTCGGAGCATATAAAAGAAGTGCAAATCAAACCGATGGAATTCCCTTGTCTGATCCACCAGAGGGGTTTTCCAGAGGGTTAAAGCTTAGGTAGATGGAACGATCGAATCCTGCTTTGGTTAGAAGGCCACAAACACAAAATATATCTTGTACATGACGATCGCTGTTTGCATAAGAGTCCTTTTAGAGCGACGAACGAGAGCCAGTGCTTATTAGGAGGCTGTTCTGTAAACTTTCTTGCATATAATCACACATATTAAGTTCAAAACGTATGACTGTTTAGCCAATGACATCCCATCGTAGGGATGGACAGATGCACAGGTTGACTAAAGGGTTTCTGGAAATGTGGATGAGAGAGGAAGACGGTGATTGTTGCTACGCAGAGGAGGTTTTGGCAAAGGACACCCCAAAAAGACGAATACGTACTGATGACTTGCATAAAATGTAGGAGCGTGTTAGAAATATGAAGAGGCTCGAAAGCTATTAGTCTGGATGACGGGCTTGTGTAATGTGAAGTTCACGTTGGCGGTTCTTTCAGCATGCCGTTGGTTTTGCTCTTGCTCTTGGGGAGAAGTTTGCGGTTGATGATGCGCCTGAAGGTGGCGGTCCTCTTTTCCCTGTCACCCATCACAGCCGCCTCGGGATGCTCCAGGTACTGGAGGTCATTGTGGGACTGGCTCATGCCCGGCTCCTTTCGCTGATGCCTCCGTCTGAAGAATAGCTTGGCACTCTTGTGAAGGAAGCTGCCTACAGGGGGCGCCAAAGAGAGATAAAAATAATCAGCAAAAGCTCTATTAAATGTACTCCACTGTGCCAACCTGGAGGTCAAACCCAGATTAAAGGTGCTATAGACCATTTTGAGGGATGTAAATAATAACAGTGGTCCTAACCCATTTCCTGTTTTACACTTAATTTCTATAGCTTTCGAGAATCCAAAAGGGTCCACATATTGATAAATAATGTTATGATAGCTGTTTCAACATTAGGTTATGATTAAATTTCCTCATTACAGTTATGAAATTGTTTGACAACAAGCAGGAAATGTTTATAGGCCAATGACATGACCATTGAAAAGTATTAGTAAATGTAAGTTTTTTGACCTGTCTAAAGCATAAAAACAAGATGTTTGCGGTTATTAAAGTGAGGAAATATGAAAAAAATTATGGTTAAGATGGTTAATCTCCTTTAAAAAGGTACATTCTATGTCTTTGTTATCAATTTTTTGTGTTGCGATTAATTGCGGAAGCTTTTATCACAGTATACGATACGTGGTACTATCACGATATTGAGGAATAATAACCCCCAAAAATTGGTGTATTTTTTATTATGTTCACATGTTCAGAGTAAATAAATGCTTTAAACAAATTAAATTGTAAAAGATGATAAAGTACTAATAAATAATAGTACTTTATTATTAATAAAGTAAATAATAATAGTAAAGTCTCATTACTAAACGTTAGTTAATACTAGGGGTGTAACGGATCACAACCCACAGATCGGAACGCACGTGACCCGCGGATTAATCACTTTTTTGAACTTGTATGTTAATCCAACATTTATAACAATTGCAGAGAGATCGCCTCCCGCGTCATTCAAATCCCGCGTATGAAAGAATTTTAGCTTCCTCGTAAAATATAATGATGACGAAAAACGTTGAGGTGGGACCTTAATTAAAGGTGTTTTCTGTCACTGTTTGTTTAGCCTGCATTAATGCATTCATTGTACAGCCGCACAATTAATTATTAAGAGACTGTGATCTCAACTTAAACCAGCGCAACATGAATGACAAATGCTATTAATGATTTGTTGTTTATTAATCCTGCTTTTAGATTAAGAGAGATTCAGTTTTAACACATTTCATTTAGTTACAATTAAATAACACAGAAGTACTTGGAGAATAGTTTAGATATAAACACTGATGTTTATGGTAATGATTAAAATCACTGTTTAATGGAACTTGACACTGGTGAATTTTGTAGCAATTACATTGTGTAACCAATGGGTGGCGACAAACAACCATCAATGTTTCACTGTTTCAACCATCATTATGTCACTGAATAGGTTTTTAAAAATGATCCACCTATAATGAAACATGAAGTTATATGTAAATTGTTGAATCATTAACTGAAAATAAATATGATCAGTTGTACAAGATGTTAGATTTCTATAATTTAGCATTATCAGCAACAGATTTAGTATTGAATATTTTACTTTTTCTCAGCAGGTTCTTTCTTGATTTTTATATTTTATCAAAATTACAGGTTCTAAGTTCTGTTTGTTTAAACCAATGGTTTTTGCAGTAATATTTTTGTTTAAATGAAAAGCAAATGACATCTGTCTCCTCTACTTATTCGCTGACCCGAAAAATGGTCTGATTCGTGACTTTAAAACCGTAGTGCTATCCGAACCGTAAGATTGGTGATCAGCTACATGAGTAGTTAATACATTAAAATAGCAGTGAGAAATAGCTATATTATAGTGTTACATTATATCCATAGAATTGAATTATTATTTATGAACTACACTATATAACCAAAGATTAATAAATGCTTTTGTAGCGTCGTTGCAATGACTTTAGTTAAATTAACTGATGTTAACATGGTCCCTTACTGTACAGAGCTGAACAAAAGGTCTATAAATAGTCACAGAATGTGACAGAACTCTTAAGGCCAGATTAATGGGAAAATGTCAATGTTTGAAAATAAATGGCCTCCTACTTATTCAAGCAAGTGCTGTAATGAACAACTATCAGAATATTCCTAAAAAGTGCTCCAAAATGTTGTGAATAATTATAGTGGCCATGATATCGATATTGTTCATGTTCATTATCGTGACAAATTGAATTATTATTATTACCTGCATATGTCTAAACACCACCCACTGTCAGTTTAACTAATTATATTTTGGAGCACCAGGTTGCCTTGTCAGAATAAAAGTCTATTTCATTAAAATTTTGAATGCTGACTTAATATATGTGAACGAAGCCAAAAAAAGGGTTTCAGAAAAATCGTAGCAGACTCTGAAATGAGCTGTGGATTCAGAGTAATAGAAACCCACGTATTTAGGTTTTTAATTAGCAAAACATGTAAATATTACAAAGTAAACATTAGCTGATCAGCTTACAGAGCAAGATCATCAGGCATGTTTTATTCATGTTGGTGTCATTAATCTGGCAACCTGCCAATCTATTTAATTTTTTTTCCAGTTTGGACTGCAATACCTAATTCAGCCATTAGGTGTCAATCCTACGTACTGCACCTTTAAACGTAACACTAACTGTTAAAATGAAATATTATTAAATAAGCTTCTTTGACCTCCATGAAGACACAGTGGATGTGGCAGTGGAATTGAGACACAAACACATCAGTGCACCTTTCTCAGCTTTGAAAGATGCCACTGCAATATAACGGCAGCATCAGAGGAAAATTAGAAACAACACAAAGCACAATACTAACATTGGCCACATTTATGCCTGGTTTAAATGCATTTTTGTTAATCCGAACACAAGTGGATGGTGCTAAAAATCTAGCGAGGATTCCAATTTCAGCCTCAAATGAACTGTCTGTTTTAGGATAAAAAAAAAAAATAGACAGAAAAAAACATACTACACCCCAGCATTCAGATTTCTACTTTGTTCTGGCTAGTATCACCGCAGTACCCAATTAACATACTTGTGAAAGGTTTTACTTTGAAATTAACAATCACACAGACTGTGTGAAAATGTGTTGACTCTCCATTAGTCTCAGATAAAAATCAAGTTTAACTTGTTTGATTGCATTTTACACTGATAAGGCTGCAATGTCAAGCAATTTCTTAAGGTGCAGTTGACATGAAATTGAACCAGATTTTGGTAAAAACCCAAACCATACAAACATAAAAATAAAATAAAACAATGAAAAAATGTGTTACGTGTAATAACAATGACATGACACAAGGAGAAAGTGCTAAACTACTAAAATGTATTTAATACTTCATATAAAAGGCATTTTTTGTTAACTGCAGTTTAAATACGTCTCTCATATAGGGAATGAAGTCACATGCATTTCTCATTGCTTAAAGTTTTTTCCACAGACTTCAACAGAGAGTAAAAATGATGCTTCTGGTCTATCAAATCTTATCTTTTTTTAGTATTTTTTATTAGATTCAAGTCAGGTGACTGGCTGGGCAATTCTACTTCTCCAAAAGTATTCGAGAGTTCTCTTGACTGTATTTTGGATCATTGTCTTGCAGAAATGTCCACCCTGGTTTCATCTTCATCATCCTGTTAATGTAAATGTTGAACTGAAGCATCTGATATTAATTTACACTGACTAAGGGCAGAGGGTTGCTGAATAAAACAGAGATTTCAGCTGCTGTCTGAGCTTTCACTGCCTTTCTACACCTCCCTTTCTTCATGTGTTCAATACTTTTTCCCTGTGTCATTTCAGTTTATTAGGCATTACTTTATTTATAAACTAATTGGTTTTGTTTTCTTTGCATATATACATTTCTTTGATCGTTACCAACATCGTGTTCGATACTTGGTGACTGTCTATACATAGTCCCCCTACTGTCTATATATATATATATATATATATATATATATATATATATATACCATCATTTTTGGTTTTACAGATAAGGACCAGATAAAAATTAAATGATTCTAAGACACATTACGTGTGTATTTTCTGGGATCCATGTGTGAAGAGACTACAGTGGCTCTCTGCAATGCTGTGTGTGATTCTGTTGCAAAGAACAGAACAAAGAATAACATATAGGGCCATTCTAAGGCCACCTCCACACTAATACATTTTCATTTAAAAATGATTATTTGTGGCTTCATTTCGGCCTTATCAACATCGTGACAGCTTTTTAGGCAACAAAAAACATCTATTTGAAGTGGATAAATTTGAAAATGCTGTTTTCATGTCATAGTGGATTTTGTCTAGAGGATAAAACAAATTAGATTTATTTTAGAATTAGATTATATTAATGCTTTATTATGGTTTTATTCTGTTGTAGCCCCTTGAGTATAAGAAAGGTGCACTACAAATCAAATTTATCATTATCATTATTAGTGATTAAATTTATCATTATCATTATTAGTGTAAGCACTATGTAAGCAATACATAGTTCTTTTTTAAGTGCAACAAAACAAGAAAATACATTTTTATGTTGTCGGCAAAATATTTTAAAAAGCCTCTCAACCAACCACTTGTGACCAGATCATTAAAAACACATTTAACCCCAGGTGTGCAGGGCCATATTGTATGCAAATGTATGCAAAGTGATTGTTCCTTTTAAAATGAAAGCAGTCTAAACCAGTCCACACCAGCTTAGAAGTTCAGGATGGCTGAACTTCTGGATTTTTATGCTGCTCGGGCAGGTTATCAGCCAAAACTCTCAGTGGGCCAACAATGAAAGGGTTCAAGAGCACAAAAACAAAAGCAGAAAACGTCTCCAAAGATTTGAGAAGCCAAATGCAAAGTCAAATCTTTATCCACGTCCAAAAGTCAAGTTTTAAAGCTGATATTAATCCAGTAACTTCCATTTTATCTTGCCAGCTGTGTGTTGAAAATGCTGGAGCATGGACTGGCTTTTTTACTAATGGGTTTGTTAACCATTTCACAGGGAAGTCTACATGATTGTCCTATTATAGACTTCTCAAGAGGTCACTTACTCTTCCAGCAATAAATTCTGGTTAGCACAGGTTTCCACTTTAAGATGGCAAAGAAAAAAAAAACACAAAGTGATAAGGGAGAGGTACAGAGAACAAATAAATAAAGTGGATGTCATTAAATGCAAAAAGGACAGGCAGAATGTCACATAGACACAGGTGAGACAGAACTTAGCAGCTCGACTTCACGCTAACATTCAGTTTAGGTTGCAACTTTAATTTAGGAAGCTTTTTCAGTTTTCTGTCTAATGTTGTTTACATGAAGGATCTCAGGTCACAAAATACCTTACTACTTTTCTTATCAGCTTAAAAGTCAGATTAACTATTTAACAATAATATATACTGTAGCTTAAACTTTGTGGTGCAAAACTCCAAAAATTTACTTTATTTACTATCTATGAACTAGCGTTGTTACGATACTGGTATTTGGTACCAGTCAGTACTGATATTTTAAAAACGCTGATTTCGCGCTGACATTTGAGTGATGCTGAGCACGTTCTTAAACAGTGCTGATTTGCCATTGTATTCACATGCTCAACAGGAATGACTTTGATTGGCCATGAATTTCCTTAGTTCACTGAACTCACCACTGATTACCAAATGTAACCACAGATACAGGGACACTGGAGTTTTTTAAAGCCGTGAAGATCAGTCCATTTATCAGCAGATCGCTCATATGTCAGCTCATAAATAGATCAGCTGATCTTCACGGCTTTAAAACGCTTCAGTGTCCCTATATCTGTGGTTACACTCAGCAAACATCGGTGAGTTTGGTGAACTGATGACCTTCACGGCCAATCACAGTCATTTCTGTTGAGCTCGGTAAAACAACGGCAAATACTGTTACTACTACTAGGGACTATTGTTCAAATAGTTTGGCGTCTGAAAGATTTTGTTTTCCTTTTTTTCCAGGAAGGACATATTAGATTGATCAAAAGCGACAGCAAAAGTATTTGTAATGTTTCATATTTCAAATAAATGTTGTTATTTTAAGGAACTTTCTAATAAATCAAAATTATTTGACAATATCTACGCACATACTAACTGGGACAACGGTTAATAAATGATAATAAATGTTTCATTAGCATATTACAGAGACTTTGCCTTTGCAGACATAATCTATATTTTAAAATATATTTAAATTCCTTTTGATCAACACAAATGCAGGATTGATGAGCATACAGATGTAAAAAATACTTTTCTTTGCACACTAACACCTCTCAAAGCGCTTTTTTGGATGCGAAAAGCGGAAAAAAAATCAAATCCGGTTAAAAAATTTTTTTATGACGGATGAAAGTTTCAGAGGCAGCGTGTCAATATGATTCACACACCGTGAGGTTGAATTTGTTTGTTTCACATGTGAAAATTACAGCCGAAAATTTTGTATTTAGTGTGCAATAAACTTTTTTTTTGCCTTGTTTCTAGTCTAATTATTTAAAAATTCCTAAATTAACAAGCATTTCCTAGACAAGAAAAAAAAGTTTGTTTTAAAGTCTAAATAAAACAAAATGAATATAATCAAACTAATTTGAACTGAAAACAAGATGGTTTTCACTTACACTTACCCCCTAAATTTTGCTTGTTAAAAGGGTGGTCCAGATTGTAATTTTAAGGCTTGGTTGTGTTTATGGGGTGCATTTGTAAAAAAACATATTAAAAAAAAAGGGTAATTTTTTGTTTGTTTATGTTACTTTGAATATATACAGCTACTCGGGTAACATGAAAACGACTGACATATTTCTTTGTTCTCCAAATGTCCACCCTCAAGAGGCTCTGATTGGTCAACTAACATAATGTGCTGTGATTCGCAGATCGGCTTTATGTCACCGGTAAGCATCTCTACTATAACATTACAGCGCATCTGGTCACGCCCCTTCGCTGCGCGGGGTGTATGCTCATAACATGAACGGTTTATGACATCATTAACCCTGATGTTTTTTCTTGTATTCCCAAAAATTCATTTTCATTTAGCTTTGCTAAGCTAACTTTGTAAAAGCCAATGCCTCCCTTTGCATAAAACTTTGAACGCATTACATTCAGAGATGTTGTTTATGTTCACACAGCTACATTACACAAGTTTAAAATGTGATATCGCAGTGGACCACCAATTTAAAAAAAGAAAAAACCTCACCAAATTCTGACTTATTTCTGAAAACTAAACCTGTTTAGAAATTGCTTCTTTAAGAATCATTAGATATTTGGACAAAAAAAGGGAAAAAAACTCTAAACAAGAAATGCACTTTTTAAAAAATAAGTTGAGTGACCAAAAATCATTCCACTTGCTGAAACAAAGAACAAGTTGTGGACAAATTAAGGCTCAGGGTTAAATAGAAACTGATAGTTAAGGTAAATTTTGCTCAAAAAATACAAGACTACATTTTTTTTACTATCAGTTTTGTTTTGATTTCAAGAAACACTTGGTGATTTTGTATTTTTTTGTAGATTTTTGTGTGTTAACAAACTTAACCAAAGTTTTAAAGGCTTGCAATTTGGGTAAGGCAATATTTTGGCACTTTTTTGCATAAATTAAAAAAAATTAAAAATACATTTTAGAATTCTTTATGAATTTTTAGATATTTGGACTAGAAAAAAAGACAAAAACTCTGCTAAAAGTGAATTTCTTGTGTAGAGTAAGATATAGAGAAAAAAACTCCTACAGCCTCCAAACATTTAAACAGTGATGTAAATGCAAGCCACTGACCTTTCTGCTCACATGTATCCCTGTGATCAGATTTATGACTCTAGTAAAGCACTTTATGTAGACTGAAGTTGTAAACAGGGCTAACAGTAAATCCAGAAACCCAGCTCAGCATATACTAAAATCTTCTTCTGCATTAAGCTCAAAGTGCTACCCCTTTACCCCTTCTCACCTTTTCCTTTTTTAGAGCCCGTTTCAGAGATACAGAGGGACAGAGATGTTTTATCTGCATCCGGGTCTTCTCCAGTCTGGCTCTCCCAGTCCTCCACATGGTCTGTGCCATTTGCACCCACCAGGGACTCTGTGGCTTCGATAATGCTGTTTTCTTCTACTTTTTCGGGGGGTAAGGGGTCGCTGTTGGTGCCCTCGGTTGCTCCGGACATTGAAGCGTCCATGGCCGCTGCATACCCTGCCATTAGTGACATCTCTTCATCCTGGGACAGAGGGGCCTGGAGAGGAGATAATATTAAGCTCTTAAAGCTTGTGCATTGTTCAAATTGACTACCCTTTTGTAGTGTTGGTGGCTGTTTTTGCCCTATTGACTTCCATTATAATGACATTTTTTTGATTGCAAAACCATAAAATCATACAGTATAGTCATGCATTTTTATTGTTGCTGGTTTTTCCTGTTGGAAAAAGATCAAATTAATAATTTTTACTGTTAATCGTCAGTTGGCAACATTAACTCTTAAGACAAGATTGTGCAAATAAGTTTCTGGCTTTTATATGGAGTTCTATGGAGTAAAACTGCAAATTATTGTGCGGGTGCTTGAATACACTGTGTTCTGAGAGTCTAGGTGCTTATTATTATTTTTTTATGATTCAATTTTTTTTTTCTTTTTCTTCAATAATTTCATAATACAATTAGTTTACACATTTTACCTCCTTTTAACATCTCCTTATCCCTCCCCTCCCCTATAACAGCAGTGCTGTCATTGAGTATTGCTATCATAGAACCCGTAAACACAAATACTTATTATTAAACTCTATAGGAACAGTAACAATACAATAAAACATAAATAAATAAATGAATAAAAATAAATAAACTAAAATAAATAAATAAATTATTACATTTTTGGTGTGCGCCTCACCACAATGACCTTATTCCTTTTCCAAAAATGCCAAGTAATTTCCCCATCTTTTCTGATAAACATCCAATTTATCTAGTATCCTTTATGTAATTTTTTCATATGCTGCCACCTTCCCCAGTTCTGTAACCCATTCTTGAAATGATGGTGGACCTACTGAACGCCACCCCCTTATAATAATTTGTCTTCCAATCATAATACTTTTTTGAATCCATTCACACATCTTCACCCCAGGTCCCAATACAAGCGGGTCTCCTAATATATATATATATATATGTTAGGACAAAACGAAAAGCAGCATCCAGAAACATCCTGAATGTAATTATGTACTTTAACCGAGGTGCTTAATTTAAATTTTCTAAATCATGTGTGCAAAGGTCTCTTACACTCTCACACACCGACACACATTATACTCAATATAATAGTCAGAGACTAAGCTTTTGGCACTGTAAATGATGATGATCAACAGTAAAAATGTAAAGTTTTAACTCTGCCCAAGAGGGAAAACCACCAACAATCAAGAATGCGTGATTATTTGGTGTCATGGGTTTGCAATCAAAAAATTTTATTATAATGGAAGTCAATGGGGCAAAAACAGCCACTAACATAACGAAAGGATAGCCAATTTACCCAGAGCGTTTTGTTGAGTTTTTAAAAAATTCCAAAGTACTTTCCCCAAATATGTGTCAAAATAAGATGTCACCAAAAATCAATCTAGTTGCTGAAACACTAAACACAAGTTATGGCCAAATTAAGCTTCAAGATTCCCTCAGAGTAGATGGAAAACATCCCCAACAGCACACAAGAGTTAAATAGAAACTAATAGTTGAGGCCAATCTTGCAAAAAAGATGCAAGACTACAATTATTTATCACAGTTTTATTTTAACTCCAAGTTTGCATTTTTTGTAGATTTTTGTGTGTTAACAAATTTAACCAATGTTTTAAAGGCTTGCATTTTGGGTAAGCCAACTTTATTGCATAAATAAATTAATGATTTTTTCAAAGCATATGATGGGTTTGTCCCTCTGTACTTTGTTTTTCTATGTCTGAAAAAAAAACTATAATAAAAAATATTTTAAAGGCATTGTTAATCTTTGGTCTGTACCACAACCTATATCTTTCAAAACGTAGATTTCCACGATTGCAATGGTTCCAGTAGTTGGCACTGAAAAAGCTAACCTATGATAAACAAAAAACCTAAAAACATTCTGGTTGATATGGCGTCTCCTTTGGGAATACGTGGAGCTTTCTTGATGTCTATGCAGGACTGCTTGTGATTTCCTTTTAATCCTACTCATTGATATCCATCCTACTACCTTCTTATGAGAAAACGGTTTCAAAACTATGTTCATTCTTTTGATTTGTCATTTTGTTTTTCGCATTTTTATTTATTTTTACATCCTGTCCCTTTCATTTCTATACACTCTCTAATATTAGTTTGTGATGTGCCACTATTAATGGGCCATGAAACCCTCCTCTTTCAGTTCAAGTCTAACCTCAGGATTTTTCTAAAAATGCTTCATGATGGGCATGGAGTTCAGAGGGAGGAGTGGATATGGCCGGCAGAGCAGGGGAAAAAGAGGGGAGCAAACAACTGTTGTCAGTTTGTTCACAAAATGAAAGACAGTCCGTGAGGAGACCCATGAATTTATAGTTTACAAAGGTAAAATGGAAAACAATAAACAGTAATTTAATGTCCTGCAACATATGTTATTCATTTCATATAAACATAACCACAATTCGTTATATCATCATAAAGATGATCGTGTTTGTATAAACACTATACCTCTCTCCTCCTCAATCCCCGGGTCTGAATGTAGACACAGTGGATAGCAGTGCAGCAGGTCTCTTTCCCTATTTATTCCAACCATTAGCCCTGCTGGTAATCTGGACTGGAGGATTTTAAAAACAGGCGAACACAGCAGCAGGGACATAGGTGATGTGTCTGAATGGTAATGAACTCAACTGATAATAGAAAGTCTGCCATTCTCCAAATCTCATGCAACTCTCCCGACAAAAATACTTGCTGCAAACCAACAGCTTTGGTATATCAGTCCTGACAGCAACGCAGGAAAAGATATGCAACAAACCCCATGGATGATGGAAACAAACACATGCGACCCGTGTTTTGCGCAGACGCGGTCTCATCCAGTCATTGGGTCTCACAGCCTGGCAGGTCTGGGTTGCCTTCGAAAAGAATAACTAAGAAGCAGGGTCTTCGCATAGGGTAAGAAAACTCCGCTATGAAAAATAATGAGAAACCGATGCGTCATGACTGCACTAGCAGATTCGCGCTACGTCACATTTTGATCCCGCCCCAAAAATTATTTTAAGCGCAGAAGCTGAATTCAGCTGACAAAAGCTCAAAATTATCCAGTTTTCCCACAACTAAAGCTGAGAGGTGCTGACATTGTCTTAACTGATGCTCAACAGACACAAATCTGTTAATGTTATCTAATATTATGGGCAAACAATAAAAAATAAAAAAACAGTGAAAAGAAAAAGCATTGTTTACTTAAGATTCGATTTGTTTTCTTCAGTTATATAGAAGTAGAGTCTATTTATAGGATATCAAAAAAAGATATTCTGAAGAGCGTTGGAAACTTGACTCATTAGATGACCAAAGTATTTTTTCATTCTACTTTTTTCTACTCAAACTTCTACTCAAACTATCGGTATCCAACATTCTTCAAAACATCTTCTTTTGTGTTCAACAGAAAAAAAAGCTTTGAAACCACTTTCAACACTTTCAGGTTAACCATCCTTTTAAGTGTATATGTACTGGGAATCTATTATATTATATTTTAAAATCTGAAAGAATTAACTAGCTGTTAAATAATCTGTACATCTCTTTGCATACACTTAATGGTGTTTTGTATTTAATGTAGTTGATCCTGCATTTTTTTTTTTTCTCCCTGTTATTTGTTTTTCCCATCATCACTATTATGTTACGACATCCATGACCCCAGACCATGTAATTATTGTATTTGACCCTAATTTCTGTGTTAAGCTGCCTTGGGATGTTCAGGTCTTGGGTTAAAACAAAGACAGAGAGAAGGAAACTGCAATGTTTACTGTTGTATGGTGTGTAAACATTCTTTTCCTTCAAAAAAAAAAAAAAAAAATCATCCTTTTAAGTGAATTTAAGCATCAAAACATTAAGGGGTTAATAATCATCAAAAAAAAAAAAAAAAACAAGGGACCCCAAAAATACTGATATGGAACTACTAACCATCATAAACCACTACTAAATATGCATTAGTGTTAATCTTCACCTTGGACACTCCTGAGATGATAATGGTGCTCTTTTTGACGGGAGATTTGAGCTTCTGTTTTGCAGACTCGTGCAGCTGTCTGATAGCAGCCTCGGCTACAGGATCTGTCCCGTTCAGAATCAATAACTCTGTGCAGAAAAGAGAAACACAGCATTTAAAAATAATTAATTAAAATGGAAATAAAAGGAAATGCATTTAGCAAGTGGAGTCAGCAAGCGTTAAAATAGATGCTGAAAAAAACTCACCCGTATCTGACGATGAAAGAGCTTTACTAACTTTGGCACCGAGTATTGACGGCTGCTCCGACACCCTTCTCTCTGCCAGCTTATTTTTAGAGGGCGATTTGGATTCTGTAAGAGGGATTTAAAAACACACAAACACAAAAATAATTTCAGTGAGTCTCATATAGCAGTTTAGGAGATTGACGTGATTGTAGGATGTTCAAATACTCAAAACAACAAACTCAGATTGAATTTTTGCATCTGTCAAAATCAGAGGTGTAATGAAAGGTACCGGGTGGTAAAGGTCGTCCTGGTTTGCTCCTCACGGCAGTAACAGTGGTGACGACAGTGCCACAGGGCATCACAGTGCGGTCCATTTCCACTCTTTTAGTAGGGGCCGGGGTGGGTGTCTGCCAGGTACGCACCTCATTGGGCTCCAGATAGGTGAACTACATTCAAAAAATGAACAGGAAATGTCAGGTTTCTTTATGTTTTAATGCCATATCAGCAACATTGGCTATATAGCAAAACCTATACTAAATATACAATATGCAATCATATCGGTGTCTTAATAAACATTAATTGTAGAATAAAGTACAAATAACAACACTGAAAAGAAACGTTTACAATCTTTTAATTTAATTAATGATAACACTTTTTTTTTAAACATATCCCTTTAAATATTTCATAAATAAATAAAAAAAGTTCTCTAATATCTATTATTCATTCATTCATTCATTCACCTTCAGTTTAGTCCCTCGATTGATCAGGGGTCACCAAAGGGGAATGAACCGCCAACTTATACAGCATATGTTTTACAGCTGCAACCCAGTACTGGGAAACAACCATCTCACATTCACACACATACGCTATGGCCATTTTAGCTTATTCAATTCACCTGTGCACTGTAAAACCCAACAGTCAACTTGATCAAATTAAATGAGTGTAGTTACGTCAAAATTTACTGAAAGTAATTCTACTCATGTAAAAAGAGTTTTGAACTCTGTGTTGAAGGTAAAGAGTTCATTCTCTTAATTATCTTCATTTATTGGGTTTTACTGTGCTCATATTGCTTCAATTCGTTCACAGTACTCATTAGGATTAGTTTTTGAATCTCAATGGTTTGTTGCAATCAATTTCCTCAAATGGTTTGAGTTACCTTAACTTTTTGGGTTTTACATAGTAGTGCATGTCTTTGGAATGTGGAGTAAAACAGAGCACCCGGAGGAAACCCACATGAACACGGGGAGAACATGCAAACTCCACACAGAAATGATAACTGGCCCTGCTGGGTCTCAAACCAGCAATCTTCTTGCAGTGAATAGAGCGTGCTAAGCACTGAGCCACCGTGCCGCTACTATCCATTAAAAATACATATTTTATTTTAAAGTAATATATCGTCGAAATCGTCTCACACAAGTCACAATTTAATTTTTCTTCCCCTTTCAATAAATATGGGTGCGTCTTGAGAAGACGATTCTACGTCTCCATATCTATTTTTAAAGTGGTCATTATATTTTTCATTTACAAATGAATTCACGTCATATAATTTGTTGAAATGTCAGGTTTCATTTTTCTTATTTGGATTAAACAAACTTTCGCTGTTTTTAGTTTGCCAAGGGAATCAACAAGAAAATGAAATAAACTATAGTATTAGGCTTACCTAATTTTCTGAAATATAAATCACATTTTTTAAATGATGAAATAACGTACTATTTCAAAGCAACATATATAAAGCATTTAAAGGGGGAGGTAAAATTCTGTCATCATAGTTTTTTTGCTAACTGGAGTTTAATGTTCTATTGACCACAAAAGAAGATATTCTGAAGAATGTTGGCAACCTGTAACTATTGACATCAATATTAGGAAAAAACAAATATTATTGAAGTCAATGATTACAAGTTTCCAACATTCTTCAAAACATAATTTTCAAAACAATTTTATCTGGTTTGCAACAAGTCAAGGAATGATGAGTAAATGTTAACAGAATTTTAGTTTTCGCGTGAACTATCCCTTTAAAGGCAAGTAAGCAAAACATGTGCAACGCATACATAGATTTTGATTATGAGTAAGAGACACGTGTGTATTTGCATAGTTTCAATTTTACTTTACATGTTTGTCTAAGCTTTACATTTCAAATAAACGTTATTTATAGTAAATGTCAAAATATGTTCTGCATTTGTTAAATGTAAAAGATTTGTTGCGGAGTGAAAGGACCCTTGGTGATAGTTTATTCCAGATCCTGGCAGCAGAAATGCAGAAAGCTCAACCACCCACAATAGTTTCTGCAAGTGTATTTTCAAAGCTAGATCACAAAGTTCAAGCTATGACAGAGAACAGAGAGAATTCAATCTGAAAGGTAGGAAGGTGCTAAACCTTGACGGGCCTTGCATGATGTGGTGTGATGTATTTTTATTTAATGCCACGTCAGCATCAAAGAACTTTATATTTTAAAACATTTAACTTGTATAAATACTATTTAAAAACAACAAGCAACATAAATAAGATAAGATTTTTAAATGTAATACATGATTAAAATTCTAAAGTTTTTCCTGGTGACACTTTGCTGAATATCTACTTTAGTTTATTTAATAAAAAAGCCTTGTGTAGTCATTAAAAGCAAGAATAGTCCAGTAGAATATGTTTGCTGGCCTTGAATTAACTGAATGCAATAAATAAAACATTGGGAGCCAATGTAATTGCTATAAAACTGTAGTAATGGGCAGGGTTTTTTTGTTAAATGTAGGAACATGAAAAGCTAAAATTTGGCTGAGCTGCAAGCGCTATTTGGCAGGCCATAAAACAAGGAGTTACAATAATCCAACCATGACATAATAAATACATGAGTAACAGTTTCAGTGTTTTCAGAATTAAAAGAAGGTCATAGACAGTCACTATTATGAAAGTAAAAAAAAAAGGATTTGACAAGCTGATTGATATGAGATTCAAAATGTAGACTAGAGTCAACGGGCTGTAACCGGGGTGCGAGTTACAGGGGGGTTTGGGGGGGATTGACCCCTCTAATTAACGCTTGATCCCTCCCTGAAGGACATCAAAACAAGATGTATGGAGGGTCAGACCTTTAATAGTAAGAAATAGCTTTCTCTGATCTCTGCTTTATATCTTAAATATTAACCATTAAAATGTAGAATATAAATAAACAGTTGACCCCCCCATAACGGTACATGGCTGTAACTAATGAAGTAGTCTGGTTTGGATTAGCAAAACTAGCAAAAATCCAGTTTTCTCAGAGACTCTACTCGAAGTTCTGTTCCATCCATACTTTTGAGATAATTTAAGCAAGATGTAAAAAAAAAAGATAGGGGAAAAACAGTGGCATGTACAGTAAAATATATGTGCATCATCGGCTTAACTGTGGAAATTTAGACCATTGTGCCAGATGACTTGATCCAGAGGAAGCATTCAGTTTAAAAAAAAAAGCGGAATAAGGATAGAACCTTGAGGCACTCCTTGAGAAAAAAAAAATGATAGAATGATTTTTAGATTGGTCAGTGCTATTGAACTGCTGCCTCTCCAAGATATGAATCTAGTCACTGTAAGAATTATTTAGGCTGGCTTGTGTAGCAAGCCAGACTACTGTTATCCTATTTTTCTTCTGAGACTAAAAAACAAAACCCATGTCCTCCTAGAGCTTTCGAGCTATGACCACCAAACTCACACCAAACCTTCAAACTGGTCTGACTCGGTGTGCTATATCTTTTCCAACTGATCCGACTTTCGGTTTTCTGAAAAACGTCCCGGGACAGTCAGAAAAATCCCATTGACTTAACATTGGACCAGACTTTGTGACCTCATAACTCTGCATGAGACAGTCACACAGACTTCTAACTGGGCTCATTTAATTCAGACTACCTAACTGCCAATACCTGATGAGCTTTTAACTTTCTGGCCACACCCTAGTAACCACTTTTTTAGAAACTGTCCCATAGACTTCCATTCAAAAGACTGTCATTGACTTTACATTGGATCAAACTTTGTGAGCTCATAACTCTGCATCAGACTGTCCTACAGACTAATGGCTGAGCTCATTTAACTCAGACAACCAAACTACGAATAACTGACGAGCTTTTAACTTTCTAGCCACTCCCTAACAACCAGATACTGCACCCTAGCAACTGTCTCATAGACTGCCATTATAGAGGCCCAGATTGATATCGTCATGCTGTAGTGTTATAGCAACATGCTAATAATGATTAGCTAAGTACTTTAACATTCTGGAAATGCTTAATATCTATCTATCTATCCATCCATCCATCCATCCATCCATCCATCCATCCATCCATCCATCCATCTATCTATCTATCTATCTATCTATCTATCTATCTATCTATCTATCTATCTATCTATCTATCTATCTATCTATCTATCTATCTATCTATCTATCTATCTATCTATCTATCTATCCATACTTTTTAAAACTGTTTAAACTAAATAAACTATTACCAACAGGCTTTCACAAGCCAGCCTCAAAGTTTGTCTCGACAAACTTTAATAATCTAGTTGTTATTGCTGTAGTCAACTCTTGGCGGCACTAATGCTAGAGTTTTCCACTGACCAAAACTTTTTAAATGTTTAATTAATTGCAAATTAAACACATAAAGTGGGTGAAATAAGATTTCAGATTTAAGAAAGAAATATGACCTGATTTAACTTATTATAGTTACTAACATACTTTTAGACTACATTAGACCATCTGAACTGCTATTTAAATATATTTACAGGTTGTTTACTGCAGTTCCAAAACAATTTGCTGAACAACATTCCTTCACTATCATTAATGTTCCGGTGCTGTTTGAACAAAAACAGCCCTTGTCTGATATTGCGCCGGCTGCTAGTGTGATATTGCCTAACTATATCATATGATACAAATGACACAAAAACCCTTAGGGGGTATTTCTGACCCCACATCTCAGATTTTAAAGGCATATAACTGCACTCTATAGACCATTTCAATGTGGTGATGTCATTGACCCATGTACATTTCCTGCTCATTGCCAAACTATTTCATATATGTAACCAGGGGCAATTTAGTCATAACTTAATGTTAAAACAGCTATCATAACATTATTTATCAATAAATGGCTCTTTTCGAATTCTTGGAAGTTTTAGAAATTAAAAATGTAAAACAGGAAATACGTTGGGACCATTGTTTTTGTTTACATCCCTCAAAATGGTCTATGCTTCTTTAGGCAGCGTTAACATGAACGCCTAATTTGAATATTCAATTAAAAGGAAAGTTCGCTCTAAAATAAAAATTCTGTCAGGGTTCGTCACCCTTGACTTGTTTTAAACCAGTCTGAGTTTTTTGTTTAGAAAACATACTGAAGAATGCTAAAAAAAAACTGTAACCATTGACTTCTATAGTATTTGGTTTGCCAGCATTCTTCAATATATCGTCTTGTGTTTTCAACAGAACAACAGAATTTTGGGGTCAACTATGCCGGTCACACTTTACAATAAGGTTTCTTTAGTTAATGTATTTTCTCAAATTAACTAATAATAAATAAGTTATGTATATTTATTAAGTGCAGTTATTGTGTATGGCCATACACCCAAACAATTTGTAATAATAATTACAACAATTAAACAATTAATAATAATTATTATTTGCATCAATTATTCATAGTTCTACATTACCTAATATATTTTAAAAATCTAAATTCATGCTTGTTAACATTAGTTAATGCACTTTAATGTTAACAAATATGAGTAAATGATGTAATGTATTGTTCAGTGTTTGTTCATGTAAGCAAATCCAATAATTAACATTAAGTAATACAACCTCATCGTAAAGGATTACAACAATCCCTTCAATGTAACTAAATACTCAATATAACAGTCATATTAAATACACGTTTATAAATTCTGCAGATGTTTTACGTGACTTAATATAAACCAACAAGACATTGTCGATATCTAATAGACAATATACTTAATACAGTGGTTTCCAAAGTGGGGTTTGGTACCCTATGTGGGGTTGCAGGACAATGACAGCGTCACCAAATTCTTGGTGATTTCCAAAAAGTCAAATAAGTTTTATTAAACTATTAGAATTAACATATTTTACATAACCCACAGAAGATAAAAACAGTTGATAAGTTACACAAAAAAATCAACAACATGCAAATAAAAAGCCATCAGCCTTTCAATTTTTTCCCCATAGGATTGGTGTGTTTGCGTAAGATTAACAACACAGCAATAGCGTCAGCTGCAGCAGACTGATTTTATAGCACCAGGTTAAACTTTCTGACACCTTTATGGCACTCAAACACATTAAAAATAAATGCCGGCCACAACTGAACATTGAGGATGATCTCTGAATGGTGGTCTCCAAACTTAAACCAAGAATAGATGTGCTGAAAACATTGTGCCTACCAGTCTCTCATTAGGTGGAGTTAATATTAAATTAAACTAATTAACATATGACTATATAAATTATAGCCTATGGTTATTAAGACTGTTGCACTTTTTTGTATTGTCAATAGCTTGTGTTTATATAGGCCTATTGTTGTGTGTGCAACATTTGTATATTTATAACCACTTCCGAGGAATGTGGGGGGTCGTGAGTCACTAGCATTGTTATTTTGGGGGTTGCGGGTAGAAAAGTTAGGAAACCCCTGATCTAATACTAGAGTGACACAGGTCTGTGAGGGTTAAATATATAAAAATGATTAAATATGTCATGTATTTACACAGTATTCATTAGGAGATGTTTTACCTCAGTAGTTATTGATCCAGTAACTTGATCTTTGGTCTTGAGTGAAAAGGTCTGTTGACCTTTAGGGTGTTTCCTCACCAGATCAAAAGGCACAGAAACTTGCCCTAACAAACCACCTAAGAGGAAAACAGAGAGCGATTCTTGATCAAATCAAAGTAATGCATTTAATCAACATATTTGTCAAGGCAGGCGAAAGTGACACTGAATACGCAGACAAACAGAAGTTTCTCTGGCCTGTTAAGAAATCAGGGTGAAAGGCCAACGGCATGAGGTAACACAGGCGGTCACATGTCTGTAATCAGAGTTCAACTCAAGATGTTCCCACAGTATCTGTCTATTAGCTCTTCAGACCTACCACTTTCCCAGCTTTTTTGAGGATGTTATGTGAATTAGAGAAACAGATCACCAAAAGTAGATTAAAATTCACAGCTGACCTTCAAGCTTTCGGAGACGCAGATTAATGGATATCACTTTTCTGTTTTTTATATGGCGTTAAGCCGGTTTATTTTTGGTCATGTGGACTTACTTTCCACGGGTTTGCCGTTATCCACGACCTGGATGTTCAGCTCCTTTGACCGGCCGCTAAGCTCACTGCAGAATCATACAGAGAGAAGAGATAAAAGAAGTCATTCTGCATTCCCAAACCAAAATGTTTCATAGAAGTCCCACAAAAGACAAGATACAGTTTTATTATGCACTAAAAAATGCAGTTTGTTTTATTTTGGGTTGACCAAGTATTTTAACATTAAAATTATATAATAAAGATATTACTAAATATTATAAATATTACTAAGTATATTAAAAACTCAAATGTTATTGTTTTCAAAGACGTTTCCAAACCAATAGCTAATGACACAAAAACATTTCCTAGTAACTCTCTTCTCTCCTTCTTTTGTAATTTCGCTACCAAACTTTCCTAGTAAAATGCTAAAAAGTTTAAACTGAAAGATTAATTTAATGCTACATTAATTGTTAATTATTTAATTTATGGATGGATTAATTAACTGTGTTTTCAAACATGCATTGCAGCCAAATAGGTTGTGCGGTCCAAACATTTCCCAATCATCCAATTCTCTTTTAGTAAATTCGTATTGTTACTATAATTTAAAAAAATTGTGAAAAAATATAAATAATAATAATAATTATTATTATTATTATTATTATTGTTAATAATAATAGTGCCAAATCATTGTATTTTTTTAATCACATAAGGAATGCCAATTAGTTATTTTGAGCCAAACATTTTTGTTGTTGCCCCTTTACTTTATTTGGCCATCCAATTGCTTCTGTTTTTTTCCAATAGAAGAAAAATATTAATTTTGTGATAATTTTAATGTATTAGTTTTTTATATGTTTCCAGGCCAACATTTCCCCATCATCTCCTGCTCTTTCAATAATTTCCTGGTTTATTACTACAGTACCTTACTATAAAAAACAAATACGATAAAAATAAAAAGATTAGTTTTATTATAGAATCTAGATTCATTGCAACTGTTTTTAAACAGGTTAGTTTGACCGAAACACTTCCCAGCCATTTAATTATCTTCCAGTAATTTTCTATTCAATCTAAACTGTACTTGGTTATAAAATAGAAATAAATAAATAAAATAAAAAATAAATAAATACAAGATAAAAAGTATAAATATATATATATATATATATATATATATATATATATATATATATATATATATATATATATATATATATATATATATATATAAAAAGCTAAATCAGTTGTTTCCAAACAGGTTTCCCAGTAAATAAGTTATTTTTCCCAAGATTTTCCATGTCGCCCCTTTTCTCCAAGACATTTCCTGTCCTATTTCTAGAAAAATGATTAATATCAATATAAAAGGTATATTAATATCTTATCTGATATATATCCGAATATGATTGTTACTGCCCCATATATTTCTCTATCACCCCAATCTCTCCCATTAATTACATATCCTATACTGTCCTATATTGTACATTTCCTCTAAAAGTGACCAAAAAAGCTTCAATATGTCAAGCTGCATTTAAATGATATGAACACAAGGTCAGATGGACAGGTTGGACCAGAACTCACAATATGAAGGGCTGGTCCCACGTCGGGTTGCTTTTGTTACTCAACACTGAACTGTTGATTTTCTGAGGCGGATCATCCAGCTGGAGGATACATTGAGGATTCATGCCGCCTGAAACCAAAACAGAAACACCCTTGAAAAAGCACACTTTGCTAAAGTACTTTTTTTTCAGCCCAGACACAAAAAGAACAGATCTAGAGAAGTGCTTGCGCTAAATAACTGACTAATGCACAAAACGCTCCCTGCCAAAATGAATTATGCATAAAACGGATAAGATACTGGTTGTCTCCGTTAAGTGCTTTACTTGGCTTGGAGAGCAGTTGGACTATTAGAGCGCTTCCGGAAATGATTTCCGAACAGAAGGGACATCCTGATTGAGGGAAACACAGGCGGTTAACTTAATAAGTCACTGGGGGTGGTGCTTTTTGGGAAGTGTAGCCACAGCACTTTGTGACCGCAATAAAATGTCATCCAAAATAATTGGCTTGATTTCTTGCATACAAGCAATATAAAAGCATTAGCTGAGGCCTGTGGTGTATATTAGGTCCATCTCATAGACAATGAGACATGCAGGGTTTTAAGAATGCAATCTATGTAATGCAACCAATTATTCAATAATTAAAAAGTTTAATTGAGATTGGGATTCTTGGTGATTGCTTGGGCGTTAATGGCCAGATTGAGCAGCTATATTAAAAAAAAGATTTATGACCAACAACACAACATTTAAAAACATGGACAAAAAAAAAAGACTTTTAAGGCCTAAAATTTAGTTATTTAAGAAATTTAAGACTTTTTAAGACCCCACTGATACCCTGTAAATTGACAGCATTTTATACAGCATGCTTTCAGCATTTGTAATTTTGACATACATATATATATATATATATATATATATATATATATATATATATATATATATATATATATTCATATATATTCATTCATTTCCATATATTTTTCATATCTTTATTTTCCATATCTTTATTATTCTATATTTTTATAGCACGTTTACAATGTAGATTGTGTAAAAGCAGCTAACCATAGAAGTTTTGTTGAAATGCAAATATAAACAACTAAACAAATAGAATTATATAATAAATTAATAATAATATCAAATAATATTAATTTATAATATGATATAATAATCTTTTAACTTATTTAAATGCACATGAATGTAAACATTCAAAAAAAAAAGAGAGAGAGAGAGAGAGAATTTAGTTTTACAGTATTAAAACTGTCTGCGCTCCTCTTATGGCCACTGACCTGCAGCACCATCCTCCTGTGTGAATGTGACCCGGATATTCTTCACTAACAGTTTCCATTCATGAGCTCGTGGGGGCTTTGGCGGGGAGGTCGCCTGTAAGGTCTTGTTCCTTACTTCCTGTTAAAGAGGACAGAGGAAATAAAACATTATCACTCATAGCATCAACAGCAACATCCTCTTCTATGTTTTTCTCTCCATTCTGTGCAAATTCCTAAGTTATGCAATGCTCAGAATATTATGAATTGATCAAATTACATTATTGTAATTTGATCAAGTTATGCTTGTACCTGAGGACAAGCATAACTGTTTAACAAAAGGTTTATTAGCTTATGTGATCAAAATTATAAACGATATGAACCTTTTTATAGAGGACTGAAAAAGTATGTGCAACCCAAAAAGAAAAATCCCCATATCCATAATACTTCATCTTCAGAACACAAATGAAGATATTTAGATTGATCCTTAAGCCTGGTTTATACTTCTGCATCAAGTGACCGGCGTGACCCACGGCGCATGCAACGCGCGTAGCTGTGCATTTATACTTCTGCGCTCTGTCTCTGTTGGTCTGCATTAACACTTCCGAAACGCTAGTGGGCAGTGAGGTGTAAATGTTCCTGTGTAGAGTTTCTTCTCTGCTGTTTTGCTTTTCCTGAACACTTTCTGGATGTACAAGTGGCTCAAACTCGCTCATTTTGAGGCAGTAACTAGCGGACGTGTAACAAATTTAACTAGGATCTAAACACAAAACAAAAACTTTCCATCCGGAGCTCCTTCACGGGACTCCACAGTTGTAAACAATCGCTGCATTGTGCTCGTGTCCAGCTCGTGCCATTCGCGCGGCTCTCTGTCCCGCCCAGACTCGTCAGCGCTACCAAGCCGACCAATCACAGAGCTTGCGCTACGCGTTGTTGCGATGTGTAGTTACAATTTTTGAGAGGTGCACGTCAGCGACGCCGACGGCCACAGCGAAGGGCTATGCGTCAGCGCCGTAGCATACGCCGGCGTTTAACGCATAAGTATAAATCAGCCTTAAGATGTATATGTTAACAATGTATCTGTAATTTTTTTTAATTTTGTTTTTTTTTTTTTCTTTCCTTTTTACATTATTTTATTTGGTTTCTTATTTCATCGTTCTGGCTGAGATTCTTCTGATGGTGCTGTATAATTGCTGTATTGTTTGCTAGTGTTTTGGTGCATGTTCTAGTTGTTGTCAGGTAAAAATAACACAGAGCAGGGGAAAAAGAGAGAGCGAACAACTGTCAGTTGGCTCACAAAATGAGACACAACCGTGAGGAGACCCATGATTTTTTCAGGGTTCATACACGTTTACTTGTAAAATTCAATGACTTTTCCATAACTTTTCCAGGACTTTCATATATAATAGTTGTGGGCCGTTATCGGCTTTAACGTGCTGCGTTAATGCAAGTCTCTTATTGCATGATAAAAAAACAAAAAAAAAACAAAAACGCTGTTAATCTATTACCAAACTTGGTTTGGGAGCTCTGTCTGTTCTACGCAAGCTATGATGACTTTCACCTTGATATTTTAGCACGGATGTATACCTGACCGGTGAGCCGTCTGACAAAAAAAGTGCCCTTCTGAATAAAATCAGCAGGATGCCTGACTTTAACTGCAGTTCGGCAGTTTCACCTTAACTTATGAACATTTTATTCATGCCCCCTTGATAAACGGGTATTAGATGCAAATAAAGAGTAAGGGCTGGTGAGAGTAATATGGTATTTAATAACGTACGCCAAATAGAAAGAAAAAAAACTTCTGCATTTTACGATGTGTGTGTGTGTGTGTGTGTGTGTGGCCCTTTACTGACAGCCGAGCGACGTGTGTGGATCTTGATGGAGAATATGACGAAAAGTCCTAGATGACGGTGCTTACTGATCGTGGTGTTTACTTCAATAATGCCACTAAAATATGCATACTCCACATGTCTTAATTCTATTTCTGTTTAGTTCAGTTATGACTTTAGTCGGATTAAGTTCATCAAAAAAATAAATAAAAAAATGTTGCTGTTTGGAGCTTATGTAGGCCTACAAAACGGTTCAAAATTCATGTTTAACTGAATAAACAGGTAGTAAACACAAGTAAATCTTATTAAACATCATTTATTTTCATCACCAATTATCATAGTAGAACAGTTTCTCAAGCAGTTTGGAAATGAGGAGATGAGCCCCTGGTCTAATGCGCCACCTGGCTTGAGAAACCCACTCTCAAAGACTTATTATTTGGGTAGCACACATATTCTGAATGCCTTCGGTAAAATTCCAATTTTAATCTAATTTAATTTAATAAGCCATTTTAATCTAGATTAATTCCGAGATGAAACTAGATTGAAAAAATTAATCTATGCCCACGTACGCACGCACGCACGCACGCACAATTTAAACGATCACATTTTCCTCCTGCCAGCATTTGAAATGTTTCATAGTGAACACAAAGTGTTGTACATGAGAATAAATATTTACAGGGTCAGTATAACTACTCTAGCCTATATAATGTAAAATATAATGCAATAGGGCATATGATAATGACAAATGTCTATTTTTACTTGCGGAAAAAAAACGGTCTAAAAATGTGGTCAATGACAAATGATAAGCATGTCTCAAACATATAATAATTCAGCTTTAGCATTATGAATAGTTGCATCCTGATATTGTCACTGTGCATTAACAACAAGGACGTATTTAAAGTCTGTTTAAGACCACCATCCCAAGCCTAAAGAAAATTTAGCATTAACCAACAGTAGACCTACACAAAGGCCTAATATTATTATTGTTGTTTTACCATATCTTTGACATTAACAAAAACAGCCTTCTCAAATTAACCTTTATTTTACATTACAGAGTCGTGAGAAAATCGTGAACTTGATTTTAAGCAAAAAAAAAATTCTCATTTGAATTACGTGATTCTCATTTTAGCCAAAAGCGTGCAGCCCTTGTTCTTATTATTATCAACAGCATTGTAATTATGTAATTATTTCTTATTATTAATCAATAAAGTGGGCAAGTATTATAACAGTTAATTTTATGTTATTTTCTTTTTCACCTAAAGTGTTGTGCCTTTATGTTTTTAATCATTTGCGCTGTAAAAGTAAACTTCTTATGAACTTAGAAGGCCCTGAGGTCTCGTAAAAGATGCAAATTTTCATTTTGGCTTGAGCGAACACGTAAAGTGCTATTTCAGTGTTGTTCCCATGTTCAATGTTTAATGAGTGATGTGCAGGCTTGTACCTTGACTTCCGCAGATTCTGCGGGCCGGCTGCTCAAACTTACAGATGCTTGAGCTCCGTTCAAGACCTGTCTGAGCCTGTCGGTCACAGCAGCATCACTTAGACTCTGACAATCTCCCTGAGACACACAAACACAAAGTCATGTGCTTTCTGGGAAAAATAAGCAAGAGTCAGCTCTCAAAACCAGGTGAGATTTACAATTGACGCACTGTGCAATGAGAATTATGTTTAATCATGTGATTGTTTCTTTCTCGGGTGACCTGATGTGTGATTATACCTGTGCAAAGCTTGGCATCAGCTGCAGATCTACAGAGTCCAGGTGAAGCACCCGCCAGGAAATCTCCACCTCCCCGTTCACCTCTTTCATCTGTAGGGCCAGCTGTGGAAACAAAAACATTACTTATAAATATAAGCTGGGGTTTCCATCACTCTGCGTTAATGCACATTTTGAAGTAATGAAAAACAAATGATAGAATATCAGATTTTCAATAAAAACTCAAAAAAGTGCTTATGTTTCCTTGTGGAGGTTTTGGGCTTGTGCAAAAAAAGAGTTAATGCATATAATGGAAGTTGGAAATGCATTTGCTGATTAAACTAATGTAGTGAACATACACTCGTGAGAGTAATCAGCTGACTTCATTATGTTTGCCTTGCTTACTGTTGGTTACCAAGTTACCAATTCTACAGTCAGCCTCTCTAACAACTTGATAGAAAACACGTAACTTACATTGGAAGATTCACTTTATGTTAGGATGAAAAATCTAAAGCCTAAAATGTAGAGAATATTTAATGCAGGGCCTCCATTGTGCATTGTGTTATTACTTTTAAAGTGTCATCAAATATAAACCATAATTTACATTACCATAGCTAACATTAAAACTAGTGCTGGGTAGAAAATATATGCCATAAATCACATCTAACAACAACAAAAAAAAGTGTGTTTTGACAATATACATTTGTGTTTACTTGTATACTAATATAGTATATATAATATAGTATGATATAGTATATATAATATAGTATGATATATACTGCTAATATATATATATAATGTTACTCTCACGACAAAAACAACAGCTGGACATGACAGCAGCATGGTGACAGCATTGAATAAGTCCCAAGCACGGCCATCAGACACTTAAAACACGCACTAACCACTGAACCAGTGGTTCTCAAACTGTGGTACGTGTACCACTAGTGGTACGCAGGCTTCCTTCTAGTGGTACGCGGAGGAATGAAATATGTCATGTAGATGCTATACACATTTCAAAATGTATCAAAATGATGTATATAATATGCCATATATGACATATAGCCTATATTTCTGAGGTAATCTGCCACTATTTTTTTTACCTTGCAGAGTTGTAGCTGCTTTACTGGGCCTACTACGCTACTGTATTTCAATACTGCTCATTTTGGTGGTACTTGGAGAGACAATTTTTTATTGAGGTGGTACTTGATGAAAAAAGTTTAAGAACCACTGCACTAAACCATTGGCGTCAACTTTACTTATATTTTAATATAAAATACATATGTATATGATACAATTTGTAAAATATATATGTATATTATATGATACATATAAAATTAAATATCTAAGTAACAAACTTATGTACAGTTTTGTTTTAATGTATGTGCGTGAATCACAAGTACATAATAAATATATACAAAAATCACACATATATTACATTAAAACAAACTTTTATTTTGGATGCGATTAATCTTTGCCCAGCACTAATTAAAACATGATTTTTTTTGTGTTTATTATTTTTATTCATTCATTCATTCATTTTATTTTTGGCTTAGTCCCTTTATTAATCTGCGGTCGACACAGCAGAATGACTGCATATGTTTTACGCAGCAGATGCCTTTGCAGCCACAACCCATCACTGGGAAACATCCATACACTTTCATTCACACAAACACTAATACGGTACGGTCAATTTTAGCATACCCAATTCACCTGTACTGTGTCTTTGGACTTGTGCGGGTAGCCGGAGCACTCAATGGAAACCCACGTGAACACGAAGAGATCATACAAACTCCACACAGAAATCCCAACTGACCCAGCTCGAACTAGCGACCTTCTTGCTGTGAGGCGAACGTACTACCCACTGCGCCACTGCGTCGCCTAATATTTTTATTATAATTTTCAGCTTTTGTGTGATGTTACATAAAGGTACAAAAATACAAAGTGACCCATTTATAATGTACCCCCTTGATGTTGTGAAACAATTACTTTGAAATAATTTTTTATAAGATTTTTACATTTAATTTATTTCTTTAATGGAAAAGCTGTGTTTTTAGAATAATTACTTCAGTTTTCAGTGACTATGTTTACATGAACATCCGTAATTAAATTATTTGCCTTAATCTGAATAAGACAATATTAAGATTGAGGTGTTTACATGAGTTGCTTTTTAAATATTGCCTTCATGATTCCATTTTACATAATTCGATTAACATCATTGCGTTACCACTATATGCACATTTTCTCTGGATTTTTATGTAATTTTAGGTTTTTCATTTTTAATTTGTCAACTTTAACTGCAGTTTGGCAGTTTCACTTTCATTCAGAAACATTTCATGTATGCCCCCGTGACAAACGAGATATTAGATGCAAGTTTGAACTGCTGGAAGAGTGTAGTTTTAAGCCTATTTTTAAGGAGTGGAATTTAATACTCATGCCGTATGGAATAAAAAACCCTCAGCATTTCTTGATGCAGGTGTCTGTGGTCCTTCACTGAGTTTGTAGGTGCAGAGAATAGTGTCAAACAGCTGTGCGTGTATAGACTATTCAGTTGCAAAATGCGGCGAAAATCCTACACGATGGTTATAGTTTGAATAAAGCGTTTAGATGTCTGTGCTGTACTTCAATAATGTGACTAAAATCGGCAAACTCCACGTGTTAGTTTTTATTTTTTGACTTAATGTTTTAAAATGGGATTATTGGTGTCCATGTAAACATCCTCAGTATCACACAATATTTCAAAAAACATTTCAATATGTAATTTACCTCAATAGACATTTTTTATGACTAATGTTAAAAGCAGTAATTTTGCTTTGTATATAAGGGGAAACCATAAAATCTCAAAAGAACAGAATTTATCTGAAAAAACTTTACTGTTCGATTAATATCATGCATGCCTGGTGGATAATAGTATTAGTTTATGGGATTTTCATATATATTTTTAACATTTATAAGACCATTATGACACCATAAAAAATTATAAAAATAATAATAATAAAATATACAGTTAAAGTCAGAATTATTGGCCCCCTCTTTAATTTTTTTTCTCTTTTTTTAAATATTTCCCAAATGATGTTTAACAGAGCAAGGAAATGTTCACAATATGTCTGATAATATTTTTTCTTCTGGAGAAAGTCTTATTTGTTTTACTTCGACTAGATTAAAAGAAGTTTTTAATTTTTTTAAACACCATTTTAAGGACAAAATGATTAGCCCCTTCAGGCTATTTTTTTTCCGATAGTCTACAGAACAAACCATCGTTATACCAAAACTTGCCTAATTACCCTAACTTGCCTAGTTAACCTAATTAACCAAGTTAAGCCTTTAAATGTCACTTTAAGCTCTATAGAAGTGTCTTGAAAATTATTTAGCAAAATAATCTTTACTGTCATCATAGCAAAGATAAAATAAATCAGTTATTAGAAATGAATTATTAAGACTATTATGTTTAGAAATGCGTCGAAAAAATCTGATCTCTGTTAAACAAAACAGGGGAAAAAATAAACATGGGGCGAATAATTCAGGGGCTAATAATTCTGACTTTAACTGTACATGTATACATATAAAGCTTTAGACATAAACGTCCAGTACATTTCATTAACAGCAACAAAAAGACAAACTATTTATTAACAGAGTACAATAATTTACCCTTATCAGCCCGCAATATATAATTCAACTATTATATGCTCACAACATGTATCTGTATACAATCAATTTCAGAAAAACAGTGTTTGAATGACCAACTAAAACAAACAGCTGACAGATCAGTTAACTTAATCAGCTATTAACTAAACAACAAATGCTCCTGCTTCAAATCAGCAAGGCAGAAATGAACAGCGGCCAAACAGCGGAACATAACGCACACTGCCTACTTCAAACTCACAATAAACAAAGGGTCCAGAGCATTCTCATATTCACAACAGCTCATTGAGCCGCAGGGCCCACTGCACACGGAGGAATGGGCTGTCATGTCCAAGCACGACAGCTTTACATTTCTGGAGAACCAACTCAGGAAAAATGAGTAGGAAAAAAAATGACAGGAAGCCAAATTCCTGTCAGATACAATGCTTTTAAGTGCATTTCTAAATAAACTAACTAATAAACTAGTTGCTAATAACTTACAATGCAATTTTTATACAAAGCAAATGCTTCAATCGATCGACTTCAGTCTGAGCCTGCAAAGATATTTGCTTACAGTACTTGTAAACCATGCCAAAAGTTAGACCCCATGGAGTCACAATAAAAGAGTTATTTCACCACCTCATATAAGGCTGTGGGCTCTAGAGTGCACTGACCTCTGGTACAGAAACAAAAGCCCCAAATATATTGTTATACAAAACCCACCGCCGGGAGTTTTCCAGTAACCAGCCTTGACCAGCAAGAGAAATGGCTAGAAAATAATTCTGCAGCCACCTGGGTTCCTCCAGAAACGAAGGACAGAATGTGAATGCAATCACCTTTAAACATGACAGTATTTTAAATAAGGTTTGAAAAATTTGAAATTCATAAATCTTAAAAAATTTTGGAATTAATTAAAGGATGCATCAGACTTTAAATTACATAGTGTATATTAGGGATGCATGATATTGGAAAAACAACTGACATTGCAATGGCATGTGTATGTGTGTTTATATATATATATATATATATATATATATATATATATATATATATATATATATATATATATATAAATAGAATTTTACCCAATAATTTAAATAGCTCAATTTGGAAAGCAAGCATCCTTTTACATAAATCGGGATGTTATTTTAGGACAGATAATCTGCAGAAATCAAACAAACAGTGTGTTATGATTTTCTGGAATGAGTCAGGTACAGGTACAGAAATTAAATAATCGAATGTAAATAAATAACACTGCATAGTTTTAATTGTATTATAATAATAAACAATCTTTGTTAAAATGTTATAATTTATACACTATACACTAATGGTTAAAATACACTTCAATTCTCACAGTCATGGGCCTTAAAAACAAAGCAAACAAGCAAATGAAAAACTTTCAGTCTATTAAAGTTAAACTTCACAATGTGCAATCCCACTCAAAATTCCTAATGGATGACTGAACTAAAACTGAAAATAAACTGACATTGCGGAAGTAGTAAAAAACTGAATGTACCTAAAAGTGTCAAATGGAGTATCTGGCAAAGAATGAGAAATACTACATAAAATACGTACACAGACATAATGAAAGCATATATACATTACATTTCATTAGAGGTATCTTTAAATATTAAAATCATGTATGTGTTTTCGCAATATCAGAATCAGAATGAGCTTTGTTCGCCAAGTGTGCGCAACCACACAAGTAATACATCCATGCATATATACATAACAACACAAGAACATAGAAGGACATTTAAATAAGTGGAAAAAATGTAAACAATAACGATCATAAAGTATATATATCAGGGCTGCACTATATATCATTTCAGCATGTGCGGATTTGCAATAGTCACATCGCAGAAGGTGCAATGCTGAGTTGGTATTTAAGTTGAGCAGGAGTTGTAAGTATAACAGAGTAAAACAAGTGTAATTTGCATGTGAGCAATTCCAGCATTATGGATGTGACATTTGCAGTAATCAAGAACATTTGAGCTGGTTTCAGTCCTTAGCTCTTTCATTTCTATTTTGTTTAAAATATATTTAACCTGCTTGTTGATTAAATCCCATTCTGTTATTTAACCTATTATTTTTATGCAACAGTCAAGTGGCATGTTAATTTGCTATGAAGAAAAGGAAATGATTTATTTTTTGCATGCTGATGATTTATGTGAAATCATGAATATAGGTCTATATAATCACCTTACAATTTTGAAATGATAGCTTTTTTGCTTTGAGTATAGACTATTCAGTTCATAAGAGCAGTTCAATCTTTTATGAAGTTTGCTGTATAAAAATATAAAATTTCGAAAGATGAATAATTATCGGCCTATATATATCGGCTATCGTCCTCTAAGCCTAAAGAGTTAGCAGTATTGGCCAAAAAAATCCATATCGGTGCATCCCTAGTAAAAACTCAACATATAAATTGACAAAGAAAATATATGTTAACATTATATCAAAAGATCTATTTATATTTTCCAGAGTAACTAACCACAGAAATATGGCATAGAAAAATATAACATGTTTTGTACATTAAATGACATATGCTTGGAATTGCTCGTGTTTTTAAGGACTTTGGCTGTAGTTACATCACAGAATGTGCCATGTTGAGCTGGAATTAAAGTTGAGCAGGAGTTGTAACCATAACAGAGTCAAACAAGTGTAATTTGCATGTGTTTTAAGGACTTTGACTGTAGTTACATTGCAGAATGAGCAATGTTGAGTTGGTATTATAGATTAACAAAAAAAGAAGAAGTTTAATTTGCATGTTTTAAAGGACTGTAAGAGAATTCATAGGAGCTTATAGCATCATGGCAAAAGAAACAGCATAATTTAAAATGTATAACTTTTATAAATGTTCATTTTATCGAATTATTAATATGATGAAGACAACAGTGTTACTTGACATTTTCCTTTTCAATATCTGTGACTGTTTACTATTAGGACAGTAAAGCACTGGTTGTTTCATTTGCATCTTTGCTCTGAAGTATTTTTCAATGCTTCAAATTTGGTGTTTTTTTATGCAAATGATTTAATACTCTCTAGAATCATTCTAATCAGGTTCGAGCCTCGGCTGGGTCAGTTGGCGTTTCAGTGTGGAGTTTGCATGTTCTTCCTGCATTCGCATGGGTTTCCCCTGGGTGCTCCGGTTTTCCCCACAGTCCAAAGACATGCGGTGCAGGTGAATTGGGTAGGCTGAATTGTCCGTAGTGTATGAGTGTGTAAGGATGTTTCCCCAGAGATGGGTTGCAGTTGGAAGGGTATCCGCTATGTAAAAAAACATATGCTGGATAAGTTGGCGGTTCATTCCGCTGTTGTGACCCCATATTAATAAAGGGACTAAGCCGAAAAGAAAAAATTACTGAATGAATGAATGTGCATTGTTGACTTTTCGAACTGTACATATTAGTTGGGACAACTCTCTTTTTTAAATAATCTTTATCTAATTATATAAAAATTTGTAAAAAAAAAAAAAAAAAAAAAAATATTGCTAACACATCTACATGAATGAAACAGCCCTCTAACAGAATACTGAAATCTGAAAATGTGAGGTTTCCCCGACAGGTTAAATGCATTTATCCACTCAATGCACGTACAGGCTAAAACAGGAGCTGCACTACAATGAGTCGTCGAGCAACTTATTGGTTTAAAAATAGCTGTAATTCAATTGAGCAAAGCCTGTGTGAGCTCTTAAACACAATGCATTGTCAACTTCACTGCGGAGCAGAATAAACTGCAGCTCTGAACATTGAAATGACTTCCAAGGTTAGTTTTTTTTTTAAATTAACTCTCCGTCCAAGAGGTATAAGCTTTTTCCATGAATAATTCCGGTCAGGATGTCCCAGTAAAAATACACGTGCACATTTCAGAAGCATATTAACGGTGATTAAAATAAAGGCAGGACATTGAGCCAGCGCTCACAACCGAGGCACTTAATCTGATTCCCGTGGCGAATAAAATAGCAGAGTGAGTCACGCCCTATAAATCAAAAGCATTTGGGATGGTGCATGAAGTGTCAGATCTCTTATGAGCACATAGGACATCTTATGCAAGGGCAAATGCATTTATTTCACATTCTTATAAGCCTTATATAACTTTAAACATATGGGCATTGTTGTTTATGTTTGCTGAAATTAGATTACATTTTTAGTTTCATCAATTAAAATAAATCTGACAAAAATTTTATGAAAAAAATACATAAATATGAACTATAGTAACTGTATAAATTAGATAAAAAATTTAAAATGACTACATGCCAACAAGGAAATGAAGCTAAAAATTAAACCGAAATATAATTTCCTGTATAGCAGCATTTTAATAATTGATTAATATAATTAATTGAATGATTAATGAATTAATCAATTATAACCACATCTAATCAGTAGGCTCAGAAAATACACAGCTTTTATATTGAATCTAAACCTTTAAAGATAAAGCCACATTTGAAATAGGAATAAATAGACAAAAATTTATACATAATATCTACAAAAAAAAACACTTTTATTAAATCTCTATTCATACTGGATCTTTATTAGTTGCATTAGATTACATTTAATTTCCTCACAAGATTCATTTCCATTCAAACTGAAAGTACAGTACAAATGCGCGTAGTGTTGTTTTATGCCCATGTGACTACAATAACTATTTACTTTGATGACAAACCACGGGACAAACTTTTCCGAGAATAACACAATAGGACATGCTTGTCTACTCCAAGAGAAAAAAAAGAAACTGGATCATCCGCCTCACTAATGCCAATATTCCTGGAAGCGTTCAAAGAATGACTGTCTTGTTTGACAATTGGTTATACATACACCGTAGCTCTGCGTTTACCCAAGAACACTCAAGTAACACTAAAGAGCAGAATAAACATAGGCCAGTGTTTACCTGCAGATGAAGTGGAGAAATTTTGACACTGTATCTCAAGGGGGTTTGTGAAGTCGTCGAGCTCGGGAAAGCGCTGAGGGAAAACTGCAGCTTGTTTCCAACCACTTGACACAGAACATTCTGGAAAAAAAATAATAAATAAATAAATATATATATATATATATATATATATATATATATATATATATATGAAAAATTCAGAACACTTCTATTCATTGATTCATCTTAATCAAATACAACTCATGCAAGCAAGTGAGAGGAATGTATAGGCTTGGGGGTGAAAATGGCTTCTACATATAGGTTAGTATGTGTAAATGCTCAAAGCACAATCCTACCTTTTGACCCCGTGTTTTTGTGAAGCTTGAAATCTGGTCCACAGCCAGTTCTGATGACTGGACACCATCATCTTCAAAGGTCAGCTGAATCCCACTCTAATAAAGTTTGGAAAACATTTAGATTAGTGCTGCACAATGTATTGTTTTTAACATTGTTATCGCATATCGCGGCTTGTGACTGTGAGTTTTTTTAAAGCATTCAGGCATAAGAAATTGTAACGTTTGTAACTTTGACAAATTATTAACATTATCAGTTTCATAGAAATGTTTATAAAACAAAGACTATGCAGTATTATTTTTTATTTCATTAATTCATTACTGTAACTGAATACAATTTGACTTACTGGAAAACAATAAAATGTGGTTTATTTAATTCAGATCTTTATATCACAGATATTTATCTGTGCTTGTAGGTTGTTTATTATATTTTATGCCTATGCACTCCCCTACAGAATCATCCCAATCAATCTAAATCGATAAATTCTTTCAAAATAGTTATTCAACATATTTAGTGAAATTGTATTCATATTGCAACATATAATCGCAGAATAAAAAAACATCACAGTGTTAAATTTTCTCAATATCGTGCAGGCCTAATTTAGATAATTTCGTGTGACCCTGGACACACAAAACCAGTCATAGGTGTCATTTTTATTGAATAAGCTTGAATAAGGTTTCTATTGATGTACGAATTGTTAGGATTGGACAATATTTGGATCTATTTGAATATATAGAATTTGAAAGTTAAAAAAAAAGAAATACTGAGAAAATCTGCTTTAAAGTGGTCTAAATCAAGTTATATCAATAAACATTACAATTAGAAAATGAAGTTTGATATTTACGAAATATTGATTTAGGAAATTTACTAAACATCTTGATGGAAATTGATCTTTATTTTATATTTAAATCCTTTGCAGAAGAAAAATCCACAGTTTTGACCCATTCAAGTTATGTGGGCTATTGCAACAATATTTTGTGGTCCAGGATCCCAAATGTGCAAATTAAAATCTTGAGGAAAATATCAAAGAGATTTATTCCACGTTTAAAATAATAATAAATAAATATGCTGTCATTATGAGATGTTTATGTTCATTTTTAGGCAACACAACACCAATTTTTAGCCAAATAACTCTGATACTGTTTCACATCAAATAAAAACTGTCATTCTCTAAAAATAAAATGTTACAAAATTACTTTTTTATTATTTGGATGAAATGCTACAAGAATAAAACAAACATTTCACTCAAACCCATACGTATAAAAACCATTTTCAAGTTTAAAAAAACATCAACAACAATCTCACCTGTGATCTACAAGCTTCCTCGTTGAGGCTCCTAAACCAGGCTCTTCTCCACTGACTCCTCCAGTTTTTCAAGGAAAGCACCCAACATAAAATCCCATCAGCTTCCTCTGAATCCACATGATTGAGATGCGTTTTCCCATCATGAGCTTCGTTGGAAAAATACAGCACCAAGTATACAACCAAAGTGACAACCGAGGCCAGAAAGAGAGTGACCATGAAGAGCCACTGCCAGTCTCCCACCCAGGAGAAAACACCCTCCATTGACGACATGATCACCGAGCCATTAACATGCTTTAAACCCTTAACATGTTTACCCTCAGCTCTGCTCCTCACCCTTCCGCATCCTAACACAACAACGACACTTTCCTTCCTACAATTATCGGCTGTTAAAACACCTCCACAAACAGCAAAAATGAAAGTTCGCACCGAGGGTGGGTGAAAACATGCGAGCGGTGGATTGCGGATCGTAAATCTCACTTCAAGCAGCACGACAGATACATCTATTTTAATGCAAACTACGATATATTAAATGAGATATGTGTAACATTATAGCATCTGCAAACCTACTTTCAGATCAAATAGCATGTTTAGCGTTAGCTAGATCACAGTAAACGTAGCGTCATTGAATCAATCTGCGAGATTTTAACCGGATAAATCGTCCCTTATCGGACACAAAGCCTAGAACTATTAAAATATATATTTGTTATTAGAAATGTTGCACATATGGTTGACATCTATGTGCAATTTAATGATATATCTAAATGATAAAAGCTTAGATCCGGAGCACCCGAGGTGAAAAGTTCCTGAAAATCCCCCGGCGTTGATGAGCCACGTTACCATCACATTAGCCGAGCCACCGAAAACAATGAAAAGAGTTTCAAAAAAGTAATATTAAGTGCCATAATCAAGTCCTCTAACGGGTTTGTTCATCCTCCTGGGCGTGTAAGAAGAGGAGAAACGGAAAGAGAGTGGATGTGTGCGACACACCGCTGATTTCGAGGATTATTATTAGCTTTGCACTGAGGTTCGGGAGTCCTACAGAGTCGTCACCAGACGATACAAAATAAGAGTCCCTACTGCATTTTTACAATAAAATAAACAACACATGTTTCTGTATATAGACAGAGTAGATGAATAATAGTGATATAAAAACGTATAAATTATTTTACCAAATTAGATTTTTTTTGTTATGTTTTATATCACTGTGTTGGAAATTTATGCCTGGTAGACAAAAAGACAAAGGTCTTGTGACATTATTCCATTTCATTACACACATGAACAATGGGCGTCTCTTTGTTTATACCGCAATTTTGCAGTGTTTGAATATGAAAATTGTGCGATTTGTGCATGCATGTGTGGACTGGTTGAATAAAAGTATTTCAAAGTATTGTATTTACAACCGTTTATCATGATTTACTAATGCAAATAAAATGTGGATGCACTCACTCTTCAGTTGTTTAAAGGTTTCAATTGTGAATCCTGTTAGAGACCTTTGATGTAATAAGATATATATATATATATATATATATATATATATATATATATATATATATATATATATATATATATATATATATATATATATATATATATATATATATATATATATTAGAGGTTTGAAGCAAAAGTCATTACTTTCATTAAAAATGGCAATAAAAAGTGCCGCGGAAGGAGAAGAAATAGTGCGCATCCTACGTATTTTTATTTATTTATTTATTTTGCTAAATACATCATCACTTTAAGGACATTATCATTTATGGACAAGTAATGTAATCATTTTTAAAAGCACTAAGTATTTTTATTTAAGTATTTTATTTTAGAGAAATTAAACGCTTGAAATACAATCCAATATTATCCCTCCGCCGATTTCCACACGCATCCATCAGAATGAAGAAATCGTAAGAGCGAGTAAAAACGTCTTAAAAAGTCGTAAAAAGTTTATTTTCGGAACTGATTTCCATTGTGTAGTTGCTATTTTAATTGACGAAAGACAACACAACTGTACTTATACGGGTAAATCGTTGTCTAGAACATTATTTACATAAGCTTCGGCTAATTGTATCCGCGTCCTAGCATAATAAACGTTTGCTGTTTGCATTTAAACATGTTTGAGCACAATATGAGTCAGTAAGCATTTTTTTTTGCGTGTTAGTTTTCTTGTTAAACATTTTGTCTTCCTGACTAACGTTATAGCTAACTGCAATTAGTCAGTAAACGTCTCGCTGTACCGGTTAATATGTTAATATGATTCAACCATATGGATTGTGTGTTTCAGGTGAACAAGAAATCTTTGGTTACATCAGCATCATGACAGGGGTTCAGCCAATACCCTGTCATGTACTTCTGGGCATTGTGACAGGTGGAGGTTTACCAGCCCTCCTGCACAGATACACACTTGAGAAAAAAGTATCAAAAGTGGAGAAAGTCCTCAAAAAAGGTCTACATCAATTTCAGTTTTTTTTTTTCTCGAAAAGTATTAAATGACTGGATGTTTTCATTGATGTTTTTTGAAAAATTAATTTCTACAGGTGTAAAAGTTGATAGCGTGAACAATCTTGGACAGACAGCACTCTTTTGCGCATCTCTTCTTGGGTTTACCAGTGTAGCAGAGAAACTCCTGCAGTTTGGAGCGAATCCAAATCAGTAAGACCAAACATTCACTTCATCAACCATGAAGACTGTTTGAAAATGACAGATGCATGTACAGTATTTCAAATAGTCTCATGAGGATATAAATATTTATTGTTGCGATAAGATTTACACTATTATCACATTGTTGACCTTAATAAGGTCTCATTAGTAAACATTAGTTAATGCATAAAAATCAACAGTGAGAAATAATGTTGTTATTACAGTTACTATGTTCGTATTAACAAGAAAAATAATACAACTGAATTAGTTATTAGTTAATAACTCCTTTTTATAAAACAATCGCAACTTTTAATTTTAACGAGTTATTAAGCATTAACTAAGATATTAACTTCACATAAGATTAATGGTGGCGCAGTGGGTAGCATTGTTGCCTCACAGCAAGAAGGTCGCTGGTTCGAGCTCCGAGTTCGAGTCAGTTGGCATTTCTGTGTGGAGCTTGCATGCTCTTCCCTGTGTTCACTTGGGTTTCCTACGCCTGCTCCAGTTTCCCCCATAAGTCCAAAGACATGCGCTAGGTGAATTGGGAAAGCTAGATTGTCCGTGATGTATGTGAGTATGTCCTGGTCCTCTAGGTTGGGGTTTGGGCATTGGGCTAACGACCCACCTTTTAAAAATTGCTATGTAACACCAACATGGTACAGCTAAACATCAACTTCGATATAAACGGCCCTGGTGGTAAGAAGTAAGTAAGATTAATAAATGCTTTTGTAGCTTTCACCATCACATTAGGTTAATTAACTATAAACTAATGTTAACAAATGGAGCCTTATTGTACTGTTAACAAAAAATAGGCCTATAAATAGTGTATTTTAATTAATATTTTGTGCATGCCTCAGGCCAGATTAACATGTTTGTTTAAAAAATAATATCATATTAAGCTTTCAAGCATTTAGTGTTGTGATGAACAACACTCTAAATACAACAAGCTGAATATTCTGAACAAGCTCTCTACAAATGTATATAATGAATAATTAATCAAAGTACTTTAAAGTGCCTATAATAACACTGTAATTTATGTTCATTATTATGATATATTATTGAACATTGTCACATATCTAATTTCAAGTGTGGTATTTATGTCCATCAGTCGCAGTAAAGATGGAAGCACCCCCGTCCATGCTGCTGTTTTCTCCTGTAATCCCTGGTTGCTGAGTTCGCTGCTGGATGCTGGCGGGGACTTGCGCCTTCATGATGATAAGGGCCGGGTGCCAAAGAACTGGGCAACGGAAGGTGCTCAGGAGAACAGTCCAAAGGTCTGGTGCTGTATAGATAAAACTTTTAATGACAGAGTATTTCATTAAATAATTAGTATTTTTATAAACAATTTTCTACATGGATCCATCTTTCTATCTGCTTGTTAAGTGGTGACGTGTTTGTGACGCATGTAATACTGTTTCCGGGTCCAAGCCGCCATTCATTTGAGTGGAGAAATCATTCGTTTATGATCCAATTTTATTCTTATCACACATCAAAGTAAATTTTATATAAAATTGTAGTGTACACAACAATCTCTGGGCTTGCTGCATAACAAATACCAAAAATTTATAAAATTTATAAAAAACATTATCACTTTCTGGCCATCTGATATTAGGCAAGGACATATATACTGCGATCGGGATTTTTGAAAGCATTAAATCGCTTTGTAAACGCTTATTAGTACCATTTCATGAGTCTCCCCATTCAGTTGAATAGAGCGCTTGGACCCGGAAGACGCTTCGTGTGACGTCACACTTAACAAGCGGATATAGACAGTTTAGTGTTTAAAGTCCATGTGAAATCAAAAGCGAACATTGTTATTCTTGAGTTAGGCTTAGTTGAATTAATATCCAAGTTAATTAAAATTAAAATCCAAGTTAAGAATTAAAATCCTTTTAGAATTAATTAGAAGAATTAGAAATGAGAAAAGTTTAGAATTAGAAATTAGAATTAGAAAGTTTAGAATTAGAAAGTTTAGAATTTGAAAAGTTTAGAATTACAATCCAAGTTAATCTGCTAAAAAAAAATCTTCTGTCAAAGTCTGACCCTTTGCTATGGAGTGATGGTCCTTTTCTGTTGATGTCAGTCTGACGGCTTCAGCCACAATATTCTTAATCACGCCCCTTTTTTGCCATTAGTTTGTTTTGAGGGATTGATGCGCAAAAAAAAAGCACCGCCCCCTACTAAATATTCCATTTCAGCACATCAACTGAAATAAATGTCTCAGCAACTTCTGGTTCATGCTGACAAAAACAAAAGTAGTATATTCTCTTGTGTGTAGATGTAAAGTGTGTATGCACACATCATTGTGGTGCTTTGGATGCAACTTGTTTACTCTTCTTTTTTCAGATGCTTGCTTTTCTGAAGAGATGTGAGTCTCAAATGCAGAGTTTATTGCAGACGCATCTTTCCAGAGATACACATGTCAGTCCATCCTCCTCAAAGACTCTGCTGAGCTCACCCTCTATGCTCAAACTCTTGCGACCTTGGTAAAACGCTCAGTACTTCTATGGCCCTGTATTATTATTTTTAACATAAGTGGGACAATGTTATCATTTTTATTTAGTGTTTTATCAATTGTGTTGAGTGCCATTTTTAGTAAGTGTGGGTCAAAGATGATCCATTTTAGTGTCTGCATCAAATACAAATTTTAAAGTTAGTATTTGGGGGGCTGCATCATGATCCTTAAAATTAGTCTTTTAATATATCTTTAAAAAATATTGTTCATAATATACCTGACAAGATTAATTGTTATTCCGAATGACATTTAATGGATGTCAAAGAAGAGTCTAAAAATGAATCAGTGCATATTCTAATGAGAAAAGTCCCTTTATTTAACTCCAGCGTTTAGTTATATTTTCATTTACAGAATGAGAAAGAAACAACACCTAAAAGTGATTCAAGATTCAATTTGCACATTAATTGGTGACCCAATACAGTACAGTTAATTTAGTATTTGCATTTATTTATTTATTTGTTTTTTGTTTGTTTATTTATATATTTTTGTCCTTTTTAGGGGATCTGGGCTCATTCATGAAAATAAAGGTTATAAGGTGTCTTCGTCTGATATGATGAAGCAGTGTTTTGGCCATGGAAAGGTTTGTGTAAACATTAAGACACCAATAAAACACTCTAATAATTTGATCATAATTAAAATAATAGTTAGTAACATATTACTATTAGAAGGATCTATAGAATTAAAGAAATTGTTCAACCAAAAATTGAAAAATGTCATGATTTACTTACCTTAATGTTATTCTAAACCTTTATGGCTTTCTTTCTTTTGTGATGACCAAAATAAGATATTTTGAAGAATGTAGGTCAATGAAAAGTTTTTTTTCCTCATTGGCCTCCAATGTAAGGACAAAATAGACAATGTAAATCATTGAGTTATCAACATTCTTCAAAATATCTTCTTTTG